CATGTACGCCGTGATAAACGGCGAGAAGCACATTCTCCACTGCGAGATCAACCAGATCAGCGCCATCAAATCGGTCCCTGCCTACAAGTTCGCATGAGGGGAGAAATCCAGATTGGATTTATTGCTTATTGCTAGGCTTCATTCACTATTTTTTCACTCAAGATGAGTGGTTTGTGTATATTGTATCGCTAATAAAAAACGTAAGTTATTTTATCAATCTTTGTCCCACTTAACCATATTCCTCTTTCAGCCCTACTGTGATTCTTGGCACCTAATTATTTCTTGCCCATAACGCTTAATGGGATAGCTGTCCCGTCTGTTTGCATAGCCGTCTGGTATATCACCTTGGAACTCTCTCTGGAAACTGCTTTCACCAGCTGTCATTAGAAGCTTATCCATAACGGACTCCCCCCTCCCACACAAAATTCTCCTTGTCTTCTAAGTGAAACAGAAACTAGCTTCCTAACAGCAACTAGTTTTCTGGCGACGACTGGCAACTTCCCGCAGCTTTTTGGGTGAAGAGTCTACAAAGCGCTTGCTATGTTTCCAATCTCAGCACCTACCCTTAACCTACCCAACATCATCATACTTCAACTCCCAACGGAACCCATATCCAACCAGTTTCGACTTCCCATTGGATGAGCGTATTTTCTCTCCTTTCGACATCACCATGCTTGTGTAGGTTTATCATCAAAACGTTTTCTTCCTTTTTCGAAAAGAAACTTTTTTTCTACCATTCCATCGAGTATGTTCAGGCACAGACGTGCTGCAACTTTTCTCAAAGGAGGTTCTACGATGTCACGTGAAGCTGACGTGACAATATAGATGTCGTCAAAGATAGGTGTAATTGTGCTAATCCACATTGAAGGATCTGCGGAGACGCTTCACAGTCAGAAGTAATGCACCAAGTTCCGACACATTTCAAATTTGTAGAGAAGCAGATTTTAGAGTACGGTACCACATCGGTAGTCTAAGTTACATGTTTCACTCAACTGCAAAGAAAATCCATGATATTGACCACATTCATTGGTAAGCTGCTAATACTGACCTGTAAGTTGTAGGGGGCTACCTGTTAGGCCTTGAGATTTCCGGTTCTTCCCGAATAGGCTGAGCCACGCTAGGGGGAACAGCTTAATTGGACTCACATCGGGAACCTGCTGAAATGCAGTTACCACCTTATGAGCGTGCGCGGGTCGTCAGGTACGGTTAAAGCTCGTCTTACTTGCCTCGTGTTAGCAGTTAATAAAGGCATACCTGATAACCCACCTAAAGCTTCGTTGGTCGCATTGGTTCGTCATCCTCCAAGAACTTCCCACGCGTCCCCATCACCTGCATATGAAGCAGGTAATTCGTTTCCACGTAATGCTACATTGAAACTGCGTTCGGATAATTGAAGAATATATTACAACTATTGTCTCGTGCTGGTTCGGAGCGTAACAGCGGAAAGCCACCGATCTGGAGGCATCGTAGTATGGCGAAATCGTCTTCTTAGAAAACAATCGCTGTTTACGCTGTTTTGGGAGAAACTAGTCATCGAAGGATGATGCTGCAGTGCGAGAAGACGGAACTCTGGAAGCCTGCAATGCCTCGAAATTTGGAAATTCCTCAGCGAGGCCCTTTCTCGTGTGAACTGGGCTGGTTTTGGTTGGACAGAGCACCAGAATTCCTCTACGAGCTAATTAATTTCGACATTGGCTCCTAACGAAGGTTACCGCCAGCTTCGGTACTCGGCCCTCTTTCGCGCCAATGTCATCACACCACAGAAAATACTGACGTGGACCTCACATCGTCAGCATTCGCCAGATGGCTCGTCTGAGGCCACCAGCAGATCCATTCGCCCTTCGCCCTAGCAGGCTGACTCAACAATCATGCGATCACACCTCGAACCCCTGAAAGCTGGATTCCTAGCTGATGGGGGACGAACAAGCAGCGCGACTCGGTGAGAGCCTGAACTGAACCCAAGGTGCGACTCCACAATTCTGCCGTAGCTTTCACTGATCTTCCTGTGTTTGTCAACCTGCCCACTCCCACCAGTTATAAAACGCAACACAGCGATCACCGCTATCATCTACGTCCTTGCATTCTGCACCCACTTCCAACGGTTCTCACTTCAGCAGGCCTTTGCTAGTTACGACGTTGTTTTAGATCATACACGAGCAAGATGGCTGCTGTTACCACTTCCTCCCTCGCCGCTAAGACCCCTGTCGCCGCACTGGCGCAGTCGGGGCTGTCTGCCGCCCCCAGCTCCGCCATTCCCAGCTTCTCTGGGCTCCGGGCCTCTGCTCACGTCAAGGCCGCCAAGAAGACCAGCTGCGCGCGCGGTTGCAAGTGCGCGCGCCACGCCGTCTTCGTGCGGGCTGCCGCTGAGTCCAACGAGGCGTCCGAGCAAGCTCTCTTCGCCAGCGTCAGCCAGTCCGTCGCCGCTCCCGCTGCTCCTGCCGCCAACTCCGCCGTGCTCGTCCCGTCGATTCTCGGCGCCGGTATTGTTGGCGGCGCGGCCCTTGCTCTTCTCTCAAAGGGTTCCTCTCCCGCAGCTCCTGCTGCTCCCGCCCCGGTGACCTTCGACGGTGGATACGTTCCCCGCGCGAAGCGCGCCGCGGCCCCCGCACTAGCAACAATGGCGGCGACATTCCCTAACGCGATGCAGGAGGAGACGTTCATGCACGCCGTGGCGGAGGAGCTGCGCAACCTGGGATTTAAGCGCGACAACTGCATCGCGCTGGTGAACACGTGCCGCGACGAGGTGTGCCGGCCGATCGTGAACCTGATTGACCGCGAGTTTGGCATGAGCTTCAACATCGCCGGGCTGGGCGGGCTCGTGAACTGCGGCAAGACGGGGTTCAAGGCTGCCATGAGCCACTCGCCTGAGTTCCCCTGCGACAAGAGCGGCAAGCCCAAGGAACGATGTAAGTAGCTGAACTTGTTTCCCGCATTCAAAGAAAATAATTAAAAACAACATAATAATATGATTGAGACGGTGATATTGATCTTCGGAAGTACACGTTTTAATAATTTTCTCCCGACTCGTTTTCCCTTCTTTCCCACACCAGACATCTTCTTCGGCTTCCCCCACGTGTCCATTGGTGAGACTGGCGAAGTCGGTTCGCTGCTCCGTCGCGGCCGCGGGAAGCCGTCCAACGCGTGCGGTGCGCTCATCGCCATCCGCGGCGACATTTGCAAGGGCGGTCCCATCGTTGAGGACCCCGATAACGCCGAATATGTGCTGCTTAAGAAAAAGGTCGCGGCCCGAATCACCGCTGACGAGCCTAACTTGGTCCAGGTCACCCGCGCCGCGCTCCAAGCGATCACGGACGACCTCGAGTACCTTATTTCGCAGACAGTTGATCCCGCGACCGCGGATTACGCCGTGATTACCGGCGTGCAGATTCACTCCGGGAACAACCTCCCTGGCGAGCCGTTCCAGACGGAGCGCCTCTGCGACTACATTGCACCCAACGCCATGTACGCCGTGATAAACGGCGAGAAGCACATTCTCCATTGCGAGATCAACCAAATCAGCGCCATCAAATCCGTTCCTGCCTCCAAGTTCGCCTAAAGCCCGAGTCTAAGTTGTTCCTGCCGACCTCAGCATTTAGGGGTGAACGTTATTGAAATCCAGATAGCATGGATTGCTTGTTGCTAGGCTGAATCCCGTCTCTTTTTCCTCTCAGAATGAGTGGCTTGTGTAAATTATATCGCTAATAAATGTGGTTATCCCTATCGATCCTGATCCCACTCACCCACATTCCTCTTTCAGCCGTACCGAGTTTCCTTTTGCTCTGGTTTGGCATCTATCTCTTCCGTGCTCATAACGCTAACTAGTCGCTCTTTGACCAAATCGTCCATCCCCAACCTCTGTTTGCATCGCCGTCTGGTGAACCACCTTGGCTGTTAGGCCCGATGGCCTAAATCCGCTAAAGAATTAGCGGGGTCGACTAAGTCGAGGATGAAACGCGGCGGAAGACTTAGGCGAAAGAACTATTGGCGAAATAGGCTAAGAGTTGAATGAGAATTCGTTTATAATAGCAACAACAAGCAAGGTTGATATAACATGCAAGTACTTCGTGGGACTAGGAATTGAAGGCAAGAAAGGTAGAGTGCCACGTGGCACTAGGAAATCAAGGAAGATAAGGATAAGGGTGAGCTGGAAAGTACTGTTCGGAATGAACAGTAAATCCCCCCTTAACATTGGCTCTCTCACTGGAAATTGTTTTCAGCATTTGTAAGTGTAACTGCTCCATAACGGTCTTCACCCTTACGCACACGTATCCCTATCCATACCTGTTGAAAACACTCATGAATAAACTAGCTTTCGTTAGTGTGACAGGCCCCTTCTGTGACCCTCTGTCGTCTAGAGTTGTCCTCCTTTCGTGTAAGCTATCAGTGCATACAACATCTCTTGATAGGGTGGCTTTCCGACAGAGCGTAGCGGAATATTATTAGAGGCTTTACCAGGAGCCCGCAGGTCTGCCTCCGAGTCTCGCCACGCCACCCTCAATGGGCACAACTGTGTGCAAGGTGGAAGTGAGAAATGAAAAGAGCAGGAATTCTGGGAGACACGAGGTTTGGGGGGGTCCCTACACTGACTAGTGGGTGGAGGTGGAATTGCAGCACATGTTTCAACGATTTAATCCAAAACACAAGGAAGCGAGGGAGAGAACCAACGAGGTTCGATGAGCTGCTTGAGGGGTGTGAAAATGCAGGAAGAATGCATGCCGTCTGGATAGGGACGAACCTTTTCATTTTGGGATTCAATTTGTCAACTTCAGAAACATTACCATATCGTAGCCCACTTGAGAAAACCCAAAAAGCAAGCGTCCATGATCCAAAAACAATCAAGTGGAGAAAGCTTTTCTATTCTGCTGTACTATACGGCTATCTAGTAAGTCTACCTCATTGCCGGTACTGTTTCAAGCGCTAAGCATTCGTCAGTGAACGAACCCTGAAGAGAGAGGAAAACGTGTGAAGAAATCTTGCATTGCATTGCATGATTCTCAAGTTTAGAACCTCTCGCCGAACCGGACAAACCATGAGCCAGTGCCCATGTTGCAATCCCGAGCGTACTCCGCACGCACGGTGCCGAGCCTGACACCAGCACCCACCGAGGCTCCGAAGCCGGCTCGGCGGAAGAACTCAGTAGGGTTACCAGAAACCATACCGGAGCTGCCAAGGTCAGAGGCCATCTCAGCAAAGGCATAGGCATGGGTGGTCTTGACTGGGACCCTGATCTCACCCGCAAGCTGAGAGGGATAATGGGGGCAAGTAAATAGAGAAGGCAGGGATAAGGGAAACGTTAATGAGGAGTTGAGAGAGGACGATGGAAGGAAGGCCAAGCAGGACGAGCTGGGAGAAAGATGAGAGTGGGTGGCCTCCTCCCAGATCCCAACTTTCACACACAACACATACGCACACAAGCAGGCACCCCCAAGTACCCCAAGCACCTCGAACTCCCAGGCAGCCCAGGGAGTTTTTGAGAATTCTCACCAACTCCCAGCAACGTCAAGAATTCTCAAAAATTCCCAGCAACGTCAAGAATTCTAAAAAATTCCCAGCAACGTCAAGAATTCTCAAAAACTCCCAGCAACGTCAAGAATTCTCAAAAAATTCCCAGCAGACACCCCAAAGTACCCCAAGCACCTCGAGCACCCAGACAGCCCCTGAGGCACATCAACACCACCATAGGCCAACCCAGCCACGCACCTCAAGGAAGCGCCTGGCGGCTCCAATCTCGCCCATGTTGTACCCGCGGACCGAATACGGCCCGCCCAGTGCATACGCCTCGTACGACGGCAGGTCGCCCAGGCACCCCAAGGCGCACACACTTTCTCCACCCATCCCTCTCTCCCCACCCAATACACTTACCTCAAGGAAGCGCCTGGCGGCGCCAATCTCGCCCATGTTGTACCCGCGGACCGAATACGGCCCGCCCAGCGCATACCGCCTCGTAGGATGGGAGGTCGCCCAGGCACCCCCCGTAGCGCGCGTGCAGCACCCCCACCATGGGCGGGCGGTCAACACTCCCAGACACACAACCACACACACACACTAGCTCCATCCTTCCCCCCTGACCCCCTCTCCCCCCTCAAAGCACTCACCTCAAGGAAGCGCCTGGCAGCTCCAATCTCGCCCATGTTGTACCCGCGGACGGAATAAGGCCCGCCCAGCGCATACGCTTCATACGACGGCAGGTCGCCCATGCACCCCCCGTAGCGCGCGTGCAGCACCCCCACCATGGGCGGGCGGTCCGCATGGTCCACGTCCTCCTCACTCAGCTGCATGAAGCGCGTGTGCGTCAGCTGATGCCGGTTGAAAAAGGGGAAGGCCGAACCGATGCCCAGACCCTGGTCCACCTGTGGGGCGAGGGGGAGCCGGAATGAAGAGAGAGGGGTAAGGAAATGGGAGTTGAAGCACATCGAACTGACACCGGCAGCGGCAGTTAGGGTGGGGTCAAGGCAGTGAAGCCGGTGAAGAGCGGTCCGCATGGTCCACGTCCTCCTCGCTGAGCTGCATGAACCACGTGTGCGTGAGCTGATGTCGGTTGAAGAATGGGAAGGCTGACCCGATGCCCAGACCCTGGTCCACCTGTGGCGCCAACAGGAGCCGGAAAGGGGAGAGGGGGGTTGGGAAACGGGAGTTGAAACACATCGAACGGGCACCAGCAGCTGCAGATAAGGAGGGGTCAAGGAAGTCAAGGCGGTCAAGGGGCTCCACTCGGTCCACGTCCTCCTCGCTGAGCTGCATGAAGCGCGTGTGCGTCAGCTGATGGCGGTTGAAGAATGGGAAGGCTGACCCGATGCCCAGACATTGACATTGACAACAACAGGCGTGCCATTGACGACAAACGTGGTGTTGTTGCACTTGACACCGGCCTGCAGGAACGCCACGCGATCCACACCAGCGTCGCTGAGCGTGGTGGGCGGGCCATCGGGGGCAGCACCTCATGACCTGTGCCTGTTTCCTGGCCTTCTCACCTGGAAAATGGTACGGTCGCCAACAGGCGTGCCGTTGACAAAGTTGGTGTTATCACGCGTCACGTTTGCCTGAAGGAATGCCACGCGGTCAACACCGGTGCCACTGAGCGTGGTGGGCGGGCCGTCGGGCGTGGGCAGGCCGGAGGGCAGCATCTTGAAGCCGTGTGTGCAGATGCTCGTGTTCTCATCGCGCGTTGTCACCTCCTCTATCACTGCGCCATAGGTGATGCGGCTCTGACGGGTGAAGTTCTGTGAGTGGACGGGGATGGGAGCGAGGGAAAGGGACAGAGAGAGAGAGGGGGGGAGGAACGATGGGGATGGCGGGAAGTTGAGAGGCAGAGGGGTCGGCGATGCTCAAGGATAAGCAGAGTTGCTACCCATCCCTACCCTACCCCCCCCCAGCATCTCACCTCACTGACAGTGGCCTTGATGATGCCGGCACGGTCCACCCAGATGGCCAGCACCTCATCCAGCGACGGCCCGCCCGTGAACACAGCTGACACCTTGCGGTGGTTGAAGCACGTCACTCCTGCATCCCCACCTCAACTTCACCTCTGTGCACCGGTTTTTATTATTCTTAGCCCCTGTTTTCACAGCTTCTAGTCCAGTCTCACATCGCCCCTGCTCCCCCTCGACCGCACCTCACTGACAGTGGCCTTCATGCCGGCACGGTCCACCCAGATGGCCAGCACCTCGTCCAGCAACGGCCCGCCCGTGAACACAGCTGACACCTTGCGGTGGTTGAAGCACGTCACCCTTCCCAGCCTCGTTGTCACCCCTTCGCACCGGTTTTCACCATTCTTAAACCATTTTCTCACTGCTTTCCATCCTGTCCCCCACGTTTTCCTACCCATCCCTCCTCCCCCAGCATCTCACCTCACTAACAGTGGCCTTGATGCCGGCACGGTCCACCCAAATGGCCGGCACCTCGTCAAGAGACGGCCCACCCGTGAAGACGGCCGACACCTTGCGGTGGTTGAAACACGTCACTCGCCCCACTCTGTTGCGGCTCGTGTCGTCCACCCCGTCGATGTACGGATGCACGTACTCCAGCTTGAACACCAGATCGTCCTGTGGCGAGGGGGTTAAACGGGGTAGTGGGGATTGGGTGGGAGAGGGGTTATGGTTGTCCTCACTAAGGGCTCGTGTCATCCACACCGTCGATGTAGGGATGCACATACTCCAGCTTGAACACCAGATCGTCCTGTGGCGAGGAGGTTGGGGGGGATAAAGGAGGCGGGAGTTAGGTCGGGTGAGAGAGGGAATTATGGTCGTCCTTTCTACTATAACACGAGGCGCCTCAAAATAGACCATGAAGCTACAGCAATAACGCTCTCAGAATGGAGAGGCAGTTTGGCCAGAGGAGTGCCTGCCTCGCCACTACCACAACCATGATTCTACATGCATATGCAGATGTACATCTCACATTACATGTATACGAAATATATTTTGAACGCAAATAACTAGTAAATCATCTGCTGTGACCCCTCGCACATAACAAATGCAGTACCTGCGGCGAGAGCAGGTTGCCGGCGCTGACAGAGCCGGTGACGGAGCGATTGAGGCCGTTGATGTTGCGATGCTCGAATGACACGCTGCCCCCTGGCAGGATGGACACCTGGCATTGGGACCGGGGGAGCGGGTGGGTGGAGATGGGAGTGACAGCGGTGCATGTGAGAGGATTGCCATGAGGAGCACGGGAAGGGAGACAAGTGACAATGCCTTCAGGCGTTGCAAGGCTGAACGCTCACTCCATCTGCCCCCCACCTTCGCCTCCATCACAATTCCACCCTCCAGCTGGTCCTCGGGGCGTCGGTTGACCTCCCGTCCCGACAACTACCCCGCACTGCAAACTCCACACACTACCCCACACCCTACTCAACACCGTACGGTCCGTACCCCTCATCCTGCCAGCTTACCGTGGGCTTGCCAGTGTCCCCAGACTGAATGCTTCACTTGGTCTGCACTTCCGCAGAAGTGGGCTCCTGCTCGCGGACCTTCACCTCCATCACGATGCCGCCCTCCAGCTGGTCGTCGGGGCGCGGGTTGACCTCCCAACAACTACACCGCACTGCACACCCCAAACTTCACCATGCACCCTACCCAACACCCTGCCAGCTTACCGTGGGTTTGCCGGTATCCCCAGGCTGGATGCTCCACTCCGTCTGCACCTCAGCGGACGTGGGCTCCTGCTCGCGGACCTTCACCTCCATCACGATGCCGCCCTCCAGCTGGTCATCGGGGCGCGGGTTGACCTCCATGTTGGCGAACAGCTGCAGCGACGAGATGCTCTGCAGCGCCTTGCGCCCCGCCTCGATGTTGAACACGTTGCCCGGCTTGATCTGCGCGGGCAGGGGGGAAGGGGGAAGAGTGGTTGGTGAATATGATTACGTTGCTTGGCTGAATCTTTGTGAGACGAAAAGCGGGGAAGGGGGGAGTGCGGAAGGTGGGTTCAACGTTGATGTTGAAACCTCCCCCCCTCACTCTTCCTCCCCGCTCTCTTCCTTCACCCTTCAATCTCCTCCTCGAACCTTCTTCCCCCACCTTCCCCATTCTCCCCACCCACTCCTCCCTCTCTTCCCCATCACGGGAAGCTCTCGCATCACAACGCGCTCATCAGTGATGCCTTCGCACGTGCAGCGTTGTCCAGGAAACACAAACAAGCACTTCCCTCTATCCCCACCCCACTTGTCGTCTCCCCCCCCTCTCCCCTCTCTCCCTCTCTCCTCTCTCCCCCCTCACCTCAATGGGCAGTTCTCGCATCACAACGCGCTCGTCAGTGATGCCTTCGCAGCGCTGCCCCATCTTGTCGAGAAACTGCACCTCCACGCCCGTCACATCGCCCTCCACCACCTCGCACACGATGTCAGGCGTGTTCAGATTGCCGAAGTTGATCACCTGTAAGCATGCGTGTGTAAGGGGAGAGGGTATTACTTGAGAATGCAATCTCTGATTTTCTGCAGCAGGCTGCAATGTCACTCACCCACATACTGACCATCCACCAACCCACCCACCCACCTATCACGCACATTCCCACACACAAGCCGCACTCACATTGGCACAGGCGTAGCCCTTGTCGTGGTACCACTTGAGGATACGATCCCGGATCTTCTGCAGCATGCGGGCAGTGAGGCGGCCCTCGCGCTGCACCATGGCGCTCAGCTCGTTCTCCACCTTGCGCGGCAGCAGGCACTGCCGCGCCTGCCTCAGCCGCTCCGCGTACGCAGCCTCCTGCTTCGCCGCGTCCTCCGACGCCTCCTGCCCTGAGGCGTCCGGCTGCACGAGCCCCATGTTCACACACCGCACCGTCTTCGCCGCCTGCCACTGCGCTTCAAGAACCTTCACCTCCAGCTGCGGAGTGCAGAAGAGCGGGGGGGGGGGGGGGGGGGGGGGGGGGGGGGGGGGGGGGGTGGAACGGGGAGTGGGGGATGTGGGAACCGGGGCAAGGGGAGGTGGGAAGGGGCGAGGGAAGGCAGTCAGGGATCAGTTACGGTGGCAAGGGCGCCTGCCTCAGCCGCTCCGCATACGCAGCCTCCTGCTTCGCCGCGTCCTCTGACGCCTCCTGCCCTGAGGCGTCCGGCTGCACGAGCCCCATGTTCACGCAGCGCACCGTCTTGGCCGCTTGCCACTGCGCCTCCAGCACCTTCACCTCCAGCTGCAACCCGCATATGGAATGAGTGGTTGTTGGGTTGGGGAAACGGGGGGCTGGGACGGGGGAACAGGGCGTGGGGAAGCGGCAGCAGGGGCAGGGAAAGGCAGGGGTGAGCCACAGCCATTCCGCACATGCGGCGTTGGGCTGCACGAGCCCCATGTTCACACACCGCACCATCTTCTCCGCCTGCCACTGCGCTTCTAGAACCTTCACCTCCAGCTGTGGGACACACAGGGATTGCGGGGGAGCGGGAGGAAGGGGGAGTGCAGGGTTGCGGTGGGGAACGGGAAGTGGGGGATGGGGCGAACGGGGTGGGTTTAAGGTGGCGGAAGGGGCGAGGGAGGGCAGGCAGGGGTAGGTTACGGTACCGCAGTCACGGCAGGGCGGCTGCTGTGAGTGCTCCACCACCTGGAACACGACGCTGGATGCCATGTGGCCCACCTCCGCCGCTCACGCTCCAACCAACACACCTCATCTCATCCCCGTTTTAAGCAAGTCCTCCTTCGTTGCACGCACCTTGATGGATCCATCCAGATTGGCGACGGTATCGGCCTCCACCATATGGAACATGCCACTCGACGCCATGAACGCCACCTCTGCCTCTCGACCTCCACCCCACCTCATCCCATCCCCGTTATAAGCGAACCCGGCTTTGCCATAAGTACCTTTATCGATCCGTCCGGGTTGGCAACGGTATCGGCCTCCACCATTTGGAACATGCCGCTGGACGCCATTTTCGCCACCTCCGCCTCTAAAACCCACCCCACCTCATCTTCGTTGTTAAGCATGACTCGACTCGTTGTAACTCCTGCTTCACTACACGCACCTTTATGGACCCGTCCGGATTGGCAACAGTGTCGGCCTCCACCATCTGGAACATTCCACTCGACGCCATGTTGGCCACCTCGGCCTCGAGCTGCGCGCGCGTGCACACGGTGCCCTTGCCCACCGACACCATCTCGTAGAACCCGTCCGCCTTGGGAATGACGCGGTCGCTGCGCTGGTCAACCAGGTCAACGTCCGCCACGCGGTACCGCTTCGTCGTGCTCAGCTTGTCCACCGCCACGCGCGTGCCCGCCTGGTGTGGGGGGGAAGGGAGAGGGGGAGGGGGAGGGGGAGGGGGAGGGGCGAGAGAATGGGAGGGGCAAAAATATGAGGCAACAGAGGGCTTTATTTTGCTGCCTTGTCTACCGCCACGCGCGTGCCAGCGTGGGGGGGAGGTGGGGGGGGAGCGCGGAAGGGAGGAGGGCGAGAAGTAGGGAGGGAGGAAGGAAGATATTGAGGCAAGAAGGGCTTCGTCGTGCTCAGCTCGTCTCTGCGTTCCGCGTGCGCGCTGACACGCACGCGCAGCCTGGGGATGCGGGGAGAACGCGGAGTTCTCAACCCCCGCATGTCCGCTGGCTCCGCTGCACGCACGCGCAATGCGGGGGTCGGGGACTTTGGTATGCGGTGTGGGGCGCGGGGAATGGAGCGTGGAGAGTGGAACGAGGAAAGAGGGGAGTGCAGAGTGAGGGGCGGGCATTGTGCTATGATTGAGGCGACATGGCTAGTGAGTCGAGTAAATAATCGCAATGCGGAGTGGGGACGGCACTGGGGTGTGTTCGCAGGCCAGAGTGTTTTCGATTGCCCTCAGGATTTTTTAAAGGTGTCACCTCCTCGCGCAACTTATTCCGCTGACCTAAGACGAGGCGCGCTCCAGTCGATCGTCACACGCATGCTGTGTGCCGACTCAATTTATTCCGCTAATGATAAGGGTTGAACCCAATCTCACCCGCATGTTATAAAGGCTGAACTCAACCTCACAAGCATGCTATAAGGGCTGAACCCAGTCTCACCCGCATGCCGTGAGGGTCGAACTCCTCCGCTTTAACCGCCGCAGCCGCCGTTTTCTTCTCCTTCTCCTTCTTCGCCTTCTCCTCTGCTTCCTTCTTCCCCGCCACCTCCTTCGCCTTCGCATCGCCCTCCTCCTCTTCCTCCTCCTCCTCCTCGTCCTCCTCCTCCTCATCCGACTCCTCCTCGTCGTCGCTCTCCTCGTCCTCCGATTCCGATTCCTCGTCATCCTCCGCCGCTACAGCCGCGTCCCACTCCCACCAGTTCCGCTTTCCCCCGCCTCGCCCCTTCCCCCCTCCGCCACCCCCTCCTCCGCCTCCCCCGCCGCCGCTACCGTCTCCCCCCCCACCTCCTCCCCCTCCTATAAGACTGTTAAGAATATCAAGACCATCTTGACGCATTAAGACGCAGCCAATGCCGCTGCCGGCTGCTAGACCCGCGCCGGTTAAAGCGGCTTTCCTAAGCCATCCGGAGTCTCCGAAGGAGACTGATCGGCTCCGGTTATGGCTGCTGTTGCTGCTGAGAGCGACGATCTGGATGGGTCGCCGTCTGGAGGAGGAGTGTGAGGCGGTGAGATGCGGCGGAGGAGCGTGGAGAGCTGCTGGTTGAGAGTGAGCGTCGGGTGTGGTCGCCGGGGATTGTGTTGCGACGAGCGATCTGATCGGGAGTGGAATGCGGAGTGAAATGCAAGGCGGAAGTATGAGATGAAGCTGAGAAACTCGATTATGTCAAGTGCCCGTTGATAGAATGTCGGCGATTATGCTGAATAGTACACTTATACGATGAAGGGAAAAAAATAAAAAAAAAAAAAAACGTCTTAGATTGTTTGCGACTCTACCTAAAAGCGAACAGTTGAACAAGACAGAACGAAGGTCGAACGCACCACACCACGAGATTGTTAAACTAAGGACGTACTTGATACTCGCATAACTAGCAGCGACGGTGCTAGCTGCTGTCGCCATTGTCTTCTGACAAGGGTGATGGACAGGTTAAGAAGTTTCGTATACTATGCAGTCAGATTAGAGAGAGCGAGAGGACAAAGATATTTGATCCAGGCTCTGCTGGATTAGGGTTTCACTCGCAAGAGATGCCGTGAAGTTAGCGACAATGGCGGCCAGACTACCTCTGATCCCCCGCTCGATCAGGCTTCTGACCAGAAAGGAAGGAAACCAAGGGGGGTGAGGAAGTGATGTGTTCCACCATTCGAAGGCAGAGAGGGAGGAGAAGACGAGATGCCATGCAACGGATAGGATCAAGGTACCAGGCGATTATTGGCGAACGTGGTAACCAGTTCGATGTCCCCAAGGGTGGCTGGTGGGGGGTGTGGTGCTGGCGTAATGTCCGCCTGGGTTTTGGGCGGGTTTGTTCTAGAGATTGACTCAAATTTTTGGAGCTTGTCGTGCTGCCACCTGGCCAGTGTTGCCAACTGGAAACTCAATACACTGGCCACTTGAATCACATGTGATGAACATATGAAAATTGTGTTGATGACATGTGATAATCCTACCTCAGAAAACCAAGGGTGAAAAAAATAACCACAATATCTTCTACAGTGCAAGTCGGTATATAGGCCACAATAAATTACATGACTAGGAACCGAACTCAAAAACATGTCCCCCCTCTAAAATCACTTTTTTTTTTTCAAATCATGTATCGACCACTAATTTTAGCGAAGATCTTGTATTCTCTTTCGATGCAAGCGACGTTGCATTCGAGCATGTGTATGCTGGCTAACAAAGAGCGAGTTTATAGGGGAAGACAGCAAGTTTCTCCCCTTCGAGTCAAGGCAGTATGGCAGATCCATTCCCAATGACTGGTCACTCTCATCACCACTCTTCACTGCTTCATACCACTCATGCATCAAGCAGCCTCCTGTTCCAGCTACATCCCCATCTGAACCTCTTACTGGGGAACTCTGTAACGAGGGTGGCTCTGTAGTCACCGCATTCCTCTCCTGAAATGGACTGACGAGACGGGCTGTTGCCCCTTCCGTTGCAATTGCCTTCTTTGTCCCTTCGAGCACACTTTCTGCTACGGCCATTACCCCTGCTCCTGCTGGTGCTGCCGGTGCAACGACAGGTGTTGCCAGTGCAACCGCAGCAGCCATGCCCTGCCGATTAGCTTCTGCTTCACACATGAACCTGGTGGAACCAGGCAGTGCCTTGTGCCCCCTGAAACCCCTGCTTCGACCCGGCTCTGAGCTCGGTCGACGACCCTTGTGCATGCCAGCATGAGTACCTCTCACTACAGCCTGGCTCATCGGGAAGGTCCCACTGCCGCTTCTCAGCCACACCTTAGCACAGCCATCCCCTCTAGCCCCCACACTCACATGACTGCTGCTTTGTCCCATCCACGTGCCAGCCTGGCTGTCAGACAGACAGCTGCAGCTGCTGCTGCTGCTGCAGCTGCTGCTGCTGCTGCTGCTGCTGCTGCTGCTGCTGCTGCTGGCATGCTGCTGGTGGGGGAAGGGGTTGCTGGGAGGAGTGGGGACACATGCTGCTTCGAGAGTTGCTGCTTGCTGTGAAGATGCACGCAGCCACTCATACATCGCCACCTGGCGCACCACCTCGTAGTCCGACTCCTCATCCTCGCTATTGAGCTCCCCGGTTTCACTACTGTAGTCCGTCCCACCCAGCAGTGGGCGCCGGTGAATGTCATCATAACGAGTCTGCCCCCCAGTACTCCACCTCCTCCTGCCACGCTCTGCACGCTCTGCCCGTTCTGCCCACTCTGTACGCTCTGCATGCTCTGCACGCTCTGCAGTCAAATGCGTGGGAAGCAGGTGGTTTGCGCCGCACCTCTCGCCCCCCGCCCATTCCTGCGTCTGTCGTCCGCCTCTCGCGTGTTCCTGCATGCAGGTGTGAATATGAGCCCACATCACGCCCTCCTCCTCCTTACAAGTCGACTCAAAAGCGCCCTCCTCCTCCTCCTTACAAGTCGACTCAAAAGCGCCCTCCTCCTCCTCCTTTTGAGTCGACTCAAAAGCGCCCTCCTCCTCCTCCTTACAGTGCACCAGGGACAGATGACTCCTTTCCTGCTCCTGCTGCTGCCCCCACCGCTGCTGCTTCTCTCGTTGCTGGCCCCACTGCTGCTGATGCTGCTGTTTCTGCTCCTGTCTCTGCCCCCACTGCGGCTCGTGCTGCCCCCACTGTTGCTGCTGCTCCCGCCGCCGTTCCCACTGCCGCCGCTGTCGCTGCTGCTCCTGCTGAAGCTGCTGCTGCCATGCCACCTCCCCACCAGCAGAGCCAGAAGCATCAGAGGGAAGCCGCCACGGGCTGGCCCGTGAATGCCTGTCGCCGTCCTCAGTGCCAGCAGAACCACACGTGTTATCAGCACAGGATGCAGAGTGCTTTTGAGTTGACTCAAAAGCCACCTCCCCACCAGAAGAGCCAAAAGCATCAGAGGGAAGCCGCCACGGGCTGGCCCGTGAATGCCGGTGGCCCTTGTCAGAGCCACCAGACCCACAGGTGCTATCAGCACAGGATGCAGAGTGACAGCCACGCCCGCGCACACAGTGATGGATGGTTTCACAGTGGTGGTGTGACCTGCAACAGCCACTCTCGTACGCGTTTTTGTCACATCTGTAGCATTCATTACAGTCACAGTTGAGGAGATGGTAGCTGCCACCACAGCTGCTGCCCCCTACACAGTCACACGAGCTGTTACAGTCAAGGTCAAAGTGACGAGTTGGCCTACCACCGTCCACCCCATTTGCTTGAAACAGGCATCTGCTGCTGACGTTGCAGCCGTTGCTGACATGGCATCCGCTCCTGACATAGCATCTGCTGGTGATGCATCCGTTTTTGTGGGCATGACTAGTCCTGCTCCCATAGCAGCTGCATTGCCAGCTGTCCCTTCTCCAAGAGGCCAGGGAACATGCCACGTGTCCATATGGACTGACAGCTGCCACGCCACGTGAACAGGCCACGTCAGCGGCCCTGCAGCTTCTCCTGTGGAGCAAACAGTCTCGAGGAAGAGTGATGCGGTGAACTGAAGAGTTTGCTGGAAGGCCTGTCTTGATGCACGTTGCTCCTGCCGCCCCTGCCACCCCTGCCACCCCTGCCACCCCTGCCCCCCCTGCCGCCCCTGCCACCCCTGCTGCCCCTGCCACCCCTGCCGCCCCTGCCACCCCTGCCCCCCCTGCCACACCTGCCCCCCCTGCCGCCCCTGCTGCCCCTGCCACCCCTGCCGCCCCTGCTGCTCCTACCGCTTTGGCTGCTTCAGGTGCAGGGCGGCAGGGGTGTGAGTGGCGCATGGCGTGAGTCTGCGTGCCCACCACGCAGTGACCCTGCTCACATGCAGCACGGTACTTGTGAGAATCTTTAAAGCCACCCTGGGAGAGCACGCAATGGCTCGGCCCACAGGCACCCCCACAGGCACCCCCACAGGCACCCCCACAGGCACCCCCACAGGCACCCCCACAGGCACCCCCACAGGCACCCCCACAGGCACCCCCACAGGCACCCCCACAGGCACCCCCACAGGCACCCCCACAGGCACCCTCACAGGCACCCCCACAGGCACCCCCACAGGCACCCCCACAGGCACCCCCACAGGCACCCCCACAGGCACCCCCACAGGCACCCCCACAGGCACCCCCACAGGCACCCCCACAGGCACCCCCACAGGCACCCCCACAGGCACCCCCACAGGCACCCCCACAGGCACCCCACAGGCACCCCCACAGGCACCCCCACAGGCACCCTCACAGGCACCCCCACAGGCTCTCCTGAGGAGCGCGCCCACCCGCTCCAGCATGCCTCCCAACGCCGCTCCTCTTGCCTCATGCGCCCCGCTTCCCACCTCGCCCCGTCCGCACAATGCACCGCCATGAATGAACCGCTCTGCTTCTGCACCCGCCTCCGATTCCTCACACTTGTCATCAGCATTTCCCTCTCCTTTTTCTTTCTCAAAACTATCTCCATCACTAAACCCCTCGTCGTCTTTATACTCCTCTTCCTCTGACGACATGTTTCGAGGTGGCTTTTGAGTCGACTGAGAAGTCACCTCGTCGTCTGTATACTCCTCTTCCTCTGACAACATTTTTCTTTCGATCCAGCCTCTATCGGTCCTGAGCCAAACTCCCACCCACTTCGTCTCCCCGTCTGAACACCCCTTGACCTCCATGCATCCCTCTCCTTCTGAAATCTCCTCATCATTTTCTTCTGCATACCCGTGTCCTTCACCATACCCCTCTCCTTCACCATACCCCTGTCCTTCACCATACCCCTGTCCTTCACCATACCCCTCTCCTTCACCATACCCCTCTCCTTCACCATACCCCTCTCCTTCACCATACCCCTCTCCTTCACCATACCCCTCTCCTTCACCATACCCCTCTCCTTCACCATACCCCTGTCCTTCACCATACCCCTCTCCTTCACCATACACCTCTCCTTCACCATACACCTCTCCTTCACCATACCCCTCTCCTTCACCATACCCCTCTCCTTCTACATACCACTCCCCTTCCAAACACTCCTCCCCTTCAGTCAGACCCACGTCTTCCCCCACCCCTCCGTGCCAACTCCCCATGCCATCCAAGCCATCACTCCAACCGCACGTCTGGCCCAAACCATCACCTCCACACCCCACTCCGCAGCCATCACTCCAGCCCGCCCCAGGCGCATCTCCATAGGAATGTTCGGCCCCCACTGCGCAGTCATCTCCATACCCCACTCCACAGTCCTCCCCACAGTCCTCCCCATGCCTGTCCTGCGCCTGCCCGGGCTCCTTGGCCAGTGAACAAGCAGCGCAGCAGCCAGCAGCCTCTTGTGAGGGGGAGCTCCTACCAGCCTTCCTGCACTCCGCTGCTCCCTCCTTCAGCTTGTGCAGCCGGAGCAGGGCCTGCAGTGCCTCCGGTGTCCTCACTGCCCCCCGCACTTTCTGCAACTCCTGTGACTCCTGCGCCTGGAAACTTCCGTCCGGCTTTCCACCTTGCTTCGCTCCCTCCTTCAGCTTACGCAGCCGGAGCAGGGCCCGCAGTGCCTCCGGTGTCCCCACTGCCCGCAGCTTCTGCACCTTTGGTGTCACTTCCGTTGACTGGGTTGACTGTGTTGTCTGCGTTGACTGCATTGACATCCTTGACTGCATTGACTGCGTGGACTGCGTTGACATCATTGACTGCATTGACTGCGTTGACTGCGTTGACTGCATTGACTGCATTGACTGCACTGATTGCATCGTGTGTGCCACCTGCTTCCTTGGCACGCCAGCCATCTCCTTCAGTTCCCGCAGCTTCTGCAGAAGCTTCCGAACCCTCTCAGACATGACGTCACCTGCTGCCACCTCACCAGCTGCAGCATAACCCGGCACAGCCTTATCAGGTGTGGTATGACCTGTCTCGGAGTGCATATCCCACATCTCGCCCTCCTTCCCCACCTCCTGCCTCGTCGCCATTTTTGACGGCTCTTTTCCCCCTTGCACCTGCACCACCTCCGGCCTCTTCCCCTCCTTCGGCCCCCCCACCTGCAGCAGCTCCTGAATCCTCGCCAGGTTCGCCTGCATGCAAGCAGCAGCTGGCACAGGCTGGTCGCTGAGAGGAACGTCACACCATTCCAGCATTCGTGACTTTTGAGTCGACTCAGATGTCAGCCGCGGCACCTCCTTCACTCCCGGCACGTGCAGCAGCAGCTCCTGCCTCTTTGCGACCTGCGGCACCTCCTTCACTCCCGGCACGTGCAGCAGCAGCTCCTGCCTCTTTGCGACCTGCGGCACCTCCTTCACTCCCGGCACGTGCAGCAGCAGCTCCTGCCTCTTTGCGACCTGCAGCACCTCCTTCACTCCCGGCACGTGCAGCAGCAGCTCCTGAATCCTCTCCAGGTTCTCCTTCATGCAAGCAGCAGCTCCCACAGGCTTGTCTCTGAGAGGCACGCCAAACCGTTCCAGCCGTGCCTTAACCTTGTGCAGGTGGCCCTCAATAAATGCAGGGTCCAGCGGACAAGGGATGGGAGGCAACACATTTAGTGACGATGATGGTGATGACGTGTCACTGCCATGCTCTGACGTGTCACAGCAGCTGCTGCCTAGACTGTATCGTAACCTGCTGCTGCCGCTGCTACAGCCGGTAGAGTGCTTGCTGCGGTAGCCAAGGCAGCTACGGCTACGGCTGCTACAGCTGCTACAGCTACTCACAGTGTTGCATCGTAGCGTGTCAGTGCTACAGCTGCTACAGGTACTGGTGCAACTGCTGCCAGTGCTGCACCGTGTTGCTTTGTGCCCACTCAGATGACCATGCACGTACCCTCCCACCCTGCTGCTGCTGCTGCTGCTGCTGCTTCTACGATTGCTACAGCTTAACATATCACTGCCGTGACCATGCTGCGCCCACCGATGCCGCACCACCTCCTCATTATAGTTGCTCCTGCCCCTGCTGCGCCCCCCTGTGCTGGGGACATCCGTGCCACGGTTCCCGAACCGCTTCCGCCATTCTGAATCACGCTTCTGCTGCTGCTGCTGCTGCTGCTGCTGCTGCTGCTGCTGCTGCTGCTGCTGCTGCTTCTGCTGCTCCTTCTGCTGCCTCTTTGTCAGCAGCTCTCTCATTGCTTCGTGCTGTTCCTTCTGCTCTCTCTCTCCCCACCGCTGCTGCTGCTGCAGCCAAAGCTGCTTTTGCTGCGGCTGCTCCTTTGGCTCATATCCCTCCTCTTCCCACCCAGTCCTTCCGTCCTCCCATCCATCACCTCTATCGCACTCCTCCCGCTCTCCTCCACCTTCCCGCCCATCCTCTCCATCTCTCAACCTAATCTCTCCTTCCTCCCATTCATCATCTCGTTCCATCCTCTCGTTAACTCCTCTCCACCCATCCTCTCCCTGCTCCCAACCATCTGTCCCATGCTCTTCCCGCTCTTCTTCCCCTTCCCACCCATCCTCTCCCTCTCCCCACCTAACCTCTCCTTCCTCCCATCCATCATCTCGTTCCGCCTCCTCCTCCTCTCCTTCTTCCCACCCATTCTCCTCCCATCCACCACCTGTCTTGTGCTCTTCTCGCCTCTCTTCCCCTTCCCGCCCATCCTCTCCCTCTCCCCACCTAATCTCTCCCTCCTCCCACTTATTATCTCGTTCCACCTCCTCATTCTCTCCTTCTCTCCACCCAACCTCTCCCTTCTCCCAACCACCACCTGTCCCATGCTCTTCTCGCATACGTATAAAGTTTCGACCTGGATCCAACAGGTGACTCGTCATACTCCAACAGGTAACTTGTCCTGTCCCATGCCCTTCTCGCTCTTCTTCCCCTCCCCATTTATCCTCCCTCTCATCCCACCCATTCTCTCTCTCCTCCCACCCACCATCTTTTACATGCTCCTCATTCCGTCTCTCCTCCCCCCATTCATTCTCTTCCTCCTCCTTCTCTCGCACAAACTCCTCTCTCAACTCCTGCTCTCGCTCCCACTCCCGCCGACCCTCATCCTCCTCCTCCATTCGCCTCCACTCCGCCTCATCCGTCTCCTCTCCCTCTTGCTCGTCCTCTTTTCCCAACCCCCACCACCCCCACTCGTCCTCATCCTCCCACTCGCGTTGTTCCTCCTCCTCCTCCTCCTCCTCCTCCTCCTCCTCCTCCTCCTCCTCCTCCTCCTCCTCCTCCTCCTCCTCCTCCTCCTCCTCCTCCTCCCCTTCCACATGGTCTATCCCTTGAGCCTCCTGTATTACCTCCTCTTCTTCCTCCGCTCTCCCTGCCCCTTCCTCCTCAACCATCACACACTCCTCCCCACCCCCTTCTTCCTCCTCCACCCCTTCCTCTTCCTCTTCCTCTTCCTCCTCCCCACCAGCCATACCCAACGATGGCATGTCACATGCCTTACATGCTCGTGTGGCAGATAGCCCTGACCCAGGTATACCTGCACAGGATGTGCCTCCCTCAGAACCAGCATCTTGCACAGCAGCCAGTCCCCCTGTCCGCTCACCAGCTTGCAAATCATCGTCAGCAGCAGCAGGATCACTGCCGCCACTGCTGCTGCTGCTGCTGCTGCCACTGCAAGCCATACGCGAGTTGATGCTAGCACATGGGGCTGTCACAATCCCCAGTCGCCCCATCTGCTCTCTTACTGCCCGCTGCATCGCCACTGCCCTTGCCACAGCAGCAGCACCACCAACAGTGGCGGCATTCCCTAAGTCGTTCAGAGGGGCACTCTCAAGGGCATGTTCACTGGCGTGCAGGCAGGCGTGCAGGAAGGCAGAGGCGCGTTGGTGGAGGAGAGGCGAGGCGAGGACGTCTGCTGCTGTGGGTCGGTGAGAAGGGGCCTGCATGGGAGAACGGGGGATACGCGTTGAGGGACAGAGGCAGAGGGAGAAGAATGGGAAACGAACACGGCAGAGAGGAGGCATTATGATGAAATCACTTTTGAGAATTCTCAAAAACGAACACGGCAAGGAGGAGGCATCATGATGAAGGAGAGGGGAGAAGGGGATGTGTGGGGCGGCCAGAGGGGGGTGCTGTTATTAGTAAACAGGTGGGCTGCGAAGGTCTGATGTCCATCAACTTGAATGTTATTAAGACGGCAAGGAGGAGGCATCATGATGAAGGAGAGGGGAGAAGGGGATGTGTGGGGCGGCCAGAGGGGGACTTGAGAGTGTGTGAGAGGAAAAGGACGGGACTGGAAGAAACGAGGGTATGGTGAGAGAATGATGTATGGGGAAGTAGATATTGGCAGATAAGGTAGATGCATCGGAAGGGGTTCCTTATAGGATACGACGGGTTTTATCCGAGTCACTACGTTGTGCTTCCGTCAACCATGTGGGACCAACCATGGGCGGTTTAGGCATGCAGATATGCACCTGAACCGTGCGCATGCACCCACACATGCACACGCACGCATATGTGCACATGCTCATGCAGACGCATGTACGCATTCATATATGAACACTCGAACGCACATGCTAATATTACACATGCGCCTGAACCCGCACATTCACATGCACATACACATGCACATGCACATGCACATGCACATGCACATTCACATGCACATGCACATGCACATTCACATGCACATGCACATTCACATGCATATGCATATGCAAGCACACGTATGCAAGCGAACCTGCACCCAGGAATCCACACAAGACAACACACACGTTGACAAGGGGTCATTAGTGGGCACTTCCGACAGAATTGACCTCACCTGAGAGGTTTACATTCACCTGGGCTTGTTGAATTCACCTGGGATTGTTGAGTTCACCTGAGAAAGCATGCGTCTGACAAGTGCACGGAGTTCAAGAGAGTAACTGCCAGCGGGTAGAGGACAAAAGAGACAAGGGCAGGGCGAGAAGGGAAGAGTGGGTGGGAGCGTGGGACAGAAGGAGTGGGAGATAGTGGATAGGTGGGAGAGAGTGGGGAAGTGGGTGTGGGATAGGCAAGTGATGGGTGGAAGAGCAGGCTGACGAAGTTGGGGGGGGGAAGAGAAGGAGTGTGGAAGAAGAGAGGGTGAGGTTGGACACGGGAGGGTGAGGTTGGACACGGGAGGGTGAGGTTGGACACGGGAGGGTGAGGTTGGACACGGGAGGGTGAGGTTGGACACGGGAGGGTGAGGTTGGACACGGGAGGGTGAGGTTGGACACGGGAGGGTGAGGTTGGACACGGGAGGGTGAGGTTGGACACGGGAGGGTGAGGTTGGACACGGGAGGAAGTGTTAGCATGCGGGTTGAAACGTCCTCAGAACTCAATCAGCATGTGAAGGTGTGTAGGGACCTGGTGACCCAAGGACCTTTCATGCTTGTGTCACTTTTGACAATGCTCAGAAGTCGATTAGAAAGTGTGCAGGGAACTGGTGAGCAAACGACAGTCGAGCACAATGCTTTCACTGGGATGGCTTCAGAGGCGGCGACAGAGAGGTGAATCATACATGGGGTCTCTGACATCTCACAAACTTTGACCAGTGTGTGAGACATCTGAGAAGTCAGGGTCACGGGGAACAAACGCCAGAGAGCACCGCACAGCACAGCGCCGCATAGCACAGCAAAGCAGAGCACCGCACAGCACAGCACTGCACAGCAGACCACCGCACATACCATTGGGGCAAGGAGTCATGGCAGCCGGACAGCACGAAGGAGACGAGCTCGTGGATGGACGTGGGTGGGGGTTGATGATGGCTCGTTGACGGCTCTTGCGGCGCCTCAGTAGACGTGGCGGGGAGGCATGACTCGCTGGCGGCCATGGCTGCGTGGAGCACGCAGCCCAGCGCCCGAATGTCTGGAAGGGAGGGTCATGGGAGGGGGGGCGAGGGTGGGGGATGGGACGGAAGAGGGGGAGGAACGGTCATGAAAGGGATGGAAAGAGAAGGGGCGCGGCTCGTGGATGGCCATTGAAGTGAGCGGAGGGTGATGGCTCGCCGACGGCCGTGGCTGCGTGGAGCAGGCTGCCCAACGCCCACTGTCTGTGCCAAGGAAACGGGGGCTAGCCGGGTCAGTGGTACACACATGCGTGGGCAGTCGGTGCACACCCGGCTTGCTGTTGCGACGTGGGACAATAGCAGCCTACACCCCATGCCATGTACCATCATGTAACAATAGCAGCCTACACCCCATGCCATGTACCATCATGTGACAATAGCAGCCTACACCCCATGCCATGTACCATCATGTGACAATAGCAGCCTACACCCCATGCCATGTACCATCATGTGACAATAGCAGCCTACACCCCATGCCATGTACCATCATGTGACAATAGCAGCCTACACCCCATGCCATGTACCATCATGTGACAATAGCAGCCTACACCCCATGCCATGTACCATCATGTGCCAATAGCAGCCTACACCCCATGCCATGTACCATCATGTGACAATAGCAGCCTACACCCCATGCCATGTACCATCATGTGACAATAGCAGCCTACACCCCATGCCATGTACCATCATGTGACAATAGCAGCCTACACCCCATGCCATGTACCATCATGTGACAATAGCAGCCTACACCCCATGCCATGTACCATCATGTGACAATAGCAGCCTACACCCCATGCCATGTACCATCATGTGACAATAGCAGCCTACACCCCATGTCATGTACCATCATGTGACAATAGCAGCCTACACCCCATGCCATGTACCATCATGTGACAATAGCAGCCTACACCCCATGCCATGTACCATCATGTGACAATAGCAGCCTACACCCCATGCCATGTACCATCATGTGACAATAGCAGCCTACACCCCATGCCATGTACCATCATGTGACAATAGCAGCCTACACCCCATGCCATGTACCATCATGTGACAATAGCAGCCTACACCCCATGCCATGTACCATCATGTGACAATAGCAGCCTACACCCCATGCCATGTACCATCATGTGACAATAGCAGCCTACACCCCATGCCATGTACCATCATGTGAAAATAGCAGCCTACACCCCATGCAATGTACCATCATGTGCCAATAGCAGCCTACACCCCATGCCATGTACCATCATGTGACAATAGCAGCCTACACCCCATGCCATGTACCATCATGTGACAATAGCAGCCTACACCCCATGCCATGTACCATCATGTGAGAATAGCAGCCTACACCCCATGCCATGTACCATCATGTGACAATAGCAGCCTACACCCCATGCAATGTACCATCATGTGCCAATAGCAGCCTACACCCCATGCCATGTACCATCATGTGACAATAGCAGCCTACACCCCATGCCATGTACCATCATGTGACAATAGCAGCCTACACCCCATGCCATGTACCATCATGTGACAATAGCAGCCTACACCCCATGCCATGTACCATCATGTGACAATAGCAGCCTACACCCCATGCCATGTACCATCATGTGACAATAGCAGCCTACACCCCATGCCATGTACCATCATGCGACAATAGCAGCCTACACCCCATGCCATGTACCATCATGTGACAATAGCAGCCTACACCCCATGCCATGTACCATCATGTGACAATAGCAGCCTACACCCCATGCCATGTACCATCATGTGACAATAGCAGCCTACACCCCATGCAATGTACCATCATGTGCCAATAGCAGCCTACACCCCATGCCATGTACCATCATGTGACAATAGCAGCCTACACCCCATGTCATGTACCATCATGTGACAATAGCAGCCTACACCCCATGCCATGTACCATCATGTGACAATAGCAGCCTACACCCCATGCCATGTACCATCATGTGACAATAGCAGCCTACACCCCATGCCATGTACCATCATGTGACAATAGCAGCCTACACCCCATGCCATGTACCATCATGTGACAATAGCAGCCTACACCCCATGCCATGTACCATCATGTGACAATAGCAGCCTACACCCCATGCCATGTACCATCATGTGACAATAGCAGCCTACACCCCATGCCATGTACCATCATGTGACAATAGCAGCCTACACCCCATGCCATGTACCATCATGTGACAATAGCAGCCTACACCCCATGCCATGTACCATCATGTGACAATAGCAGCCTACACCCCATGTCATGTACCATCATGTGACAATAGCAGCCTACACCCCATGCCATGTTCCATCATGTGACAATAGCAGCCTACACCCCATGCCATGTACCATCATGTGACAATAGCAGCCTACACCCCATGCCATGTACCATCATGTGACAATAGCAGCCTACACCCCATGCCATGTACCATCATGTGACAATAGCAGCCTACACCCCATGCCATGTACCATCATGTGACAATAGCAGCCTACACCCCATGCCATGTACCATCATGTGAAAATAGCAGCCTACACCCCATGCAATGTACCATCATGTGCCAATAGCAGCCTACACCCCATGCCATGTACCATCATGTGACAATAGCAGCCTACACCCCATGCCATGTACCATCATGTGACAATAGTAGCCTACACCCCATGCCATGTACCATCATGTGAGAATAGCAGCCTACACCCCATGCCATGTACCATCATGTGACAATAGCAGCCTACACCCCATGCAATGTACCATCATGTGCCAATAGCAGCCTACACCCCATGCCATGTACCATCATGTGACAATAGCAGCCTACACCCCATGCCATGTACCATCATGTGACAATAGCAGCCTACACCCCATGCCATGTACCATCATGTGACAATAGCAGCCTACACCCCATGCCATGTACCATCATGTGACAATAGCAGCCTACACCCCATGCCATGTACCATCATGTGACAATAGCAGCCTACACCCCATGCCATGTACCATCATGCGACAATAGCAGCCTACACCCCATGCCATGTACCATCATGTGACAATAGCAGCCTACACCCCATGCCATGTACCATCATGTGACAATAGCAGCCTACACCCCATGCCATGTACCATCATGTGACAATAGCAGCCTACACCCCATGCAATGTACCATCATGTGCCAATAGCAGCCTACACCCCATGCCATGTACCATCATGTGACAATAGCAGCCTACACCCCATGTCATGTACCATCATGTGACAATAGCAGCCTACACCCCATGCCATGTACCATCATGTGACAATAGCAGCCTACACCCCATGCCATGTACCATCATGTGACAATAGCAGCCTACACCCCATGCCATGTACCATCATGTGACAATAGCAGCCTACACCCCATGCCATGTACCATCATGTGACAATAGCAGCCTACACCCCATGCCATGTACCATCATGTGACAATAGCAGCCTACACCCCATGCCATGTACCATCATGTGACAATAGCAGCCTACACCCCATGCCATGTACCATCATGTGACAATAGCAGCCTACACCCCATGCCATGTACCATCATGTGACAATAGCAGCCTACACCCCATGCCATGTACCATCATGTGACAATAGCAGCCTACACCCCATGTCATGTACCATCATGTGACAATAGCAGCCTACACCCCATGCCATGTACCATCATGTGACAATAGCAGCCTACACCCCATGCCATGTACCATCATGTGACAATAGCAGCCTACACCCCATGCCATGTACCATCATGTGACAATAGCAGCCTACACCCCATGCCATGTACCATCATGTGACAATAGCAGCCTACACCCCATGCCATGTACCATCATGTGACAATAGCAGCCTACACCCCATGCCATGTACCATCATGTGCCAATAGCAGCCTACACCCCATGTCATGTACCATCATGTGACAATAGCAGCCTACACCCCATGCCATGTACCATCATGTGACAATAGCAGCCTACACCCCATGCCATGTACCATCATGTGACAATAGCAGCCTACACCCCATGCCATGTACCATCATGTGACAATAGCAGCCTACACCCCATGCCATGTACCATCATGTGACAATAGCGGCCTACACCCCATGCAATGTACCATCATGTGCCAATAGCAGCCTACACCCCATGCCATGTACCATCATGTGCCAATAGCAGCCTACACCCCATGCCATGTACCATCATGTGACAATAGCAGCCTACACCCCATGCCATGTACCATCATGTGCCAATAGCAGCCTACACCCCATGCCATGTACCATCATGTGACAATAGCAGCCTACACCCCATGCCATGTACCATCATGTGACAATAGCAGCCTACACCCCATGCCATGTACCATCATGTGCCAATAGCAGCCTACACCCCATGCCATGTACCATCATGTGCCAATAGCAGCCTACACCCCATTCCCTGCGTCATCACTTGCCAGTCATCCCAAGCCGTCTCAACCATCGTTACATCTTGCGTGTCATCTCACCTGACTTGCAGTCGTACGGTTCCTGGCGTGTCGTCTCAGCGGCCACGCCCATCCCCAGCCGCACACGCGCGGGGTTGCTGTCGCACGGGGTGCAAAGGAGAACGTTCTCTGCCTGCTGCCACCAGGGGGGGGTGTGGCGAGGCGGGGAAGGGCAGGAGTTGGCGTTAAACGATGGGGAAGATCTCAGCTGCTCGCAAAGGGTGCAAAGGAGAACGTTCTCTGCCTGCTGCCACCAGGGGGGGAAGGACAGGAGGTGATGTTGATTGGAATGAGCTTCATGCTCTCATGTGCTCTCACATGCTCTCACATGCTCTCACATGCTCTCACGTGCTCTCATATATTCTCCATGCAATGATGCATGTGCTCTAACGCCAGGACTAAGAGCGGCACATGTGCTCGTTGTACGCGCTGTAGCCTTCTGCGGTATACCTGTAACCGTGAAAACGCACCATGACACCTCGGTGTAACATGTTGTGCTCGTGCATGTGCTCTAGCGCCACTTGCAGCAATGCATGTGCTCATTGTACGCGTTTTAGCACTCTGCAGTATACGCACCGTGACACCTCGGTGTAACATGTTGTGGTAGTGCATGTGCTCTAGCGCCAGGGCCACTTGTAGCAGCCAGTCAACAATAGACTTCTCGGGTATGCTGGGATGGGCAAGATCAAGGAGAAGAAGCAGGAGAGCCGTTTGAGAAGAGATTTTTGCACTGTTCTTGTGCGGGTGCTTGGGTCGTGAGGGAGTTATGGGAAGGGGAGAGAGGATGGCCGTAGTAGCATTGTTGTGAGGGCAGCGGAGAAGAAAAAACAAGGCAGCATTGTCGCGAGGGCAGCACAAACCCCTTTCACTCACAACGGCTTATTGCCTTCATGGCTTCTTATCAGCGACTTTTGGGTCGACTCAAATGTTAAGCCTCTTTCACTCACAACGACTTGTTGTCCTCATGACTTCTTATCAGCTCCGAAAGCGCGCCTTCTCCGCCACAGTGCTCCGTCACTGTATCAAACGAAGCCATGCACGAATAGTTAGGCTCGAAGTTTGCACTCTGTCACTGTATAGATACTTGAACACACCTCAAAATACGCATATCTCTAGCAACAAAGACTCAGCACGCGAGGGATGTGGGATAGGGCTGGTCGTAAACACACCCATCATGCGCTATGCACGCACATCCAGTAACTCACCAGTGCAGAGGCTGCACGAGGCCTTGTGGACGAATATCGCCTGCACAGCGCATCCACTCGACACGGGAAAGACTGGATTAGATACGTCTCGGCTCGACACGGGAAAGACAGCATTAGATACTCTTAGGAACGCGTCGCTGGATAACAGTGTTTCGAGATGACGACGACGAACAATAAAAGAGTACGAGGGTGTATGAAGCTTCAAGTGCTGTCAGGAAGTTCCTGCTTTCATTCCCTGTGCGGGAAATAATTTGTGAAATCATCGAGGCATGTCATCACGTAAGTGTAAACCAGGAATGGCAATTATGTCCCATCCCCGCCTTCTGAGGGGCCTCAAAAGCCATGGCACTCACGCGCCCCATCCCCGCTTTCCCGTTTTGTTCAACCCAGCCCCCAGATGTGCCCCCGAATGCCACTTGTCTCATCCTGCAGTTCACCTTCGCACGGGTGATATCGTCCCGCCCTCCCCCACATCCTCCCTCACACGCCCCCTCACACACACCGGACACGTTATAAGGAGCCTATAGACTTAGCCACCTCACTCGCGCCTCCCACTCGCGCCTCTCACTCGCGCCTCTCACTCGCGCCTCTCACTCGCGCCCCTGACTCGCGCCGTCTCACCCGCGCCGTCTCACCCGCGCCGTCTCATCCGCACCGTCTCACCCGCGCCGTCTCATCCGCACCGTCTCACCCGCGCCCTCTCACCCGCGCCCTCTCAACCGCGCCCTCTCACTCGCGCCCTCTCACCCGCGCCCTCTCATCCGCGCCGTCTCACCTTGCATTCAACCAGGCACGGATGGCGCAGCGGCATCATCCTCTCCGCCTCCTTCACACACGCCGCACACTGCGCCGCGCCTTCCGGCAGCGGAACCACCCGCAACACCCACGCGTCACCCGGAGCTACTCCGCTGCCAGACTCGCAAGGTCCCTCCGCAAATAGCGCTGCACCATGGCTGGCGAAGCTCGCAGCTTTACCCGCTTTAAGCGATCTATCGCTACTAGTTAAGCCGTTACTACGCGAAGCGCCCTTTTCGCGGACTAGGTAAAATTTCCCATGCGCGCCACGGCTCAGCTCTGCTACGACCTCATAGCCGTTCATAATCGGGTGGCACATGTGCGGATCCGCCGCCGCTGCTTCTAACCCGACGCGACTCGCGCTTCGATTCAAACATCTCCCATCCGCATCCGCGCCACCATGACGGCTCTGCTCTTCCGCGTCCTCCTCGACGTCGCGAGCGATTCGACGATTGACTACTCTAACCGCCACTGCCCCAAACCCAGTGCCCAAGCCTAGGCGCTCCGATAGCGTATCAGATGTCGCTTCGGCTACCGCCTTAAGCCCGTTGTTCACGTGTTTCGCGCTCTGGTTCGTGTCAAAAATCGAAGCAGGTTCGTGGCCCCGGTGTTTCGCTACATCGAAACCATCCATTAGCAAAAGGAGAGACAACGCTACCTCACTACATGCGCCTGGTTCTTATATTCGGGCCTAGTACTACTACTGACAGGCAAGTTAACTTAGTACAATCGCGACTCGGCAAGCTACTACGTAACAGGGGATAATCTGACACAAAATGGCACGTTTCAAAAACCAAGAGCGAAGTAGATTGCAGTCTGCTATAACAGTCAGGAACCAGAATTGGCTGTTGATTTCTGCTTACTGACGTTTCCTAGTCCAATCCTACGTCCCGACGTTTCAAGTCTGACAACATTGTCGGCTACCTACTTTCCGTCTCTCCGTGTGTGACTTCAAGCGGCCGACGGCGCCTGGGATGTTACGCGTAGAAACACCCGAAACATTGATTCTCACGATACTTGCGTGGCACGTTTTGCTTGCTATCAGCGTTGCTGAGTGCACGTCCCCGAACGGGTAAAGAGTAATGTCCGAAAGCGTCAAGTCACAGATGAAGTACGCAGTCCCCGAGATGCTTTGCGCCACTTCAGATGAAGTTCGACGGGAACAGCCATTCCGTATTCTCCCGCAGCACGAAAATGACGAGAGAAAGCAGCGAATAGTCAGGAAAGTCCAAACGAACAAACGCTTGAGTGGGCGATTCATTTGGCGAACCCTGCTGTATCAGCAAAGGAGCGGAGTTACCAGCTTCGTAAGTGTCCATTGCGAAAGACTCGGCCACAAAGCAGTACGAGGGCATAGACCCTCGACAGGCTGGGGAATTGCGATGTGTGATTGGACCTTCAGCCCCACGCTTGCGCCAAGAAATTACTCGCGGCTCGATGAATTTTCCCAGCCCTTGGCTTTCGTGCCTCCCTCTCCAAGCAAGCGGACGGGCCAATCAATTCACATAGGCAAACAGTGCGCGACCCGAAAATGCCCAGCCTTTCAGTACAAGTAGTCACACCTTTTTTCCCAGACCACTTTTGAGATGTCACGTCACGTCACTTGCGTGGCGGATGTCTTCGTTAGAGAGGTTTGGTACATTCGCGATACTACTGGGATGGTAGTGAAAAATATACCGGAGTTTGTTGCTAAGTACAGACTATGTCTCAGGAAAATGTCCTGATAAACTCACTCCTTCGGTAATTAGAAAGGCGAACATATGAGGATAATAGTTGCTGATACACGTAATATGAACATCACATGCATCATTATTGCCTAACCTTTCCCACCCCTACCTCCTCCCTCCACCAATTACACCTCCCACCAACAGTCATCTCGAAGATTATCCACAGAATGAAGGGCTCAGTCTAGATGGTTTGGGCGAGCTGGCACTCGGTGGTGTTGGTCATGGAGTAGCTGTTGCCGTTGCCGAAGCGCAGCTCCTGCACGCAGGGCCGGAAGTCCCACAAGTACGCATACACAATGTTGACCGTCTCCCCAGGGAGCATCTGCAGAGTGCCGCTCGCACCACGGTTCATGCGCATCTCACAGTACCCCGGCGTCGTCTGCACAAAGATTTCGCCTTGCTGGTACTGCGAGGGGTTGGGATCGGGGTTGTCGAGGATGCCCTCCCACGCGTTGCCGAAGTTGAAGCACTGCCACACGCGCAGCGGGCTGGTGACGTTGTAGGCGCAGCCGTTGTAGAAGGTCATGTTGTAGATGTCGTTGTGCAGGTCGTACGGCCCCAGGTACTGCGAGCGGATCGTCACCGTCGTGCGCCCACACGCTGTGAGGAGGACAGGGGAAGGAGGGGAGGGAGAAAAGGGGAGAGAGGGGGCAGGAGTGAGGTTGCGTTGTGCAGGTCGTACGGCCGCAGGTACTGCGAGCGGATCGTCACTGTTGTGCGCCCACATGCTGGGAGGAGGGAGGAGATGTGGAAGGGTGGAAAGAGGAAGGTAAGCATGTAATCAGAATTCAGATTGTCACCACCATGCACCGTACACTAAGCACATAACAGAGGAGGAGGCAACGGGAGCAGAGGAATGAGAGGCAAGGGGAGCAGGGGAATGAGAGGCAAAGGGAGCAGAGAAATGAGAGACAAGGAGAGCAGAGACAGGTTGTGAGAAGAAGAAACAGCAGAGCGAAGGAACCAAGGAAGGTAAGAGAGGGAGAGTGGGGAGCAGCGTTGCGTACAGGTGGCGAGGGCCTGGCGGCGGGGGATGTGGTCGAGGTAGCCGGGCAGAGGCTCATGGTGAGCGAAGGTCTCAGCCGCCAGAATGCGCGCGCCCTTCCTCTGCTGCCCCGCAGCGCCAGCCACTCCGCCAGGCGCGGCGCCATCCGATGGGACGAGGACCCTGGCGACCTTCATGGCGTCCCGCGCTCCACTCACCGCCGCCGCCAGCAGCCCCACCGCCAGCGCCGCCAGAACCAGCACGCGCATCCCAGCCGTCGCCATGAGGAGAGACGCGGAGATAACAGGAGAGAGGCGAGAAGCGTGAGAGGTTTGGTGAATACCTCAGTGGGAGAAGTTGTGGGAGCACTGGGCGAGCTGATGAATTGCTGACGGCCCATCACGGCTGTTTTATAGGTGGGGATAGACCGTGAAATGCGGTGCGTGGATGGTGCTAAGGGAGGGTTTCTCTCCTCTAGCCCGGAGGAGGAATCGCCCTTCCTGCTGCAGCTGCTGGTGTTGGTGCTGAGGAGCCATCACTGCTGCGGCAATGGAGGAGGCGAGCAGTCAGAACGGCACGGCAAGAGTCACTGTCGACTGCTATGCTGCCTACAGGAATCGATCCTCTCACATCGCCTCTGCCAACCTGCTTCTTCTCTCCTTCCCACACCTGCTTGGAATTCCCACTCGGCATGTCCGCTTCGTGCGGCCGCTGCTGCACGTTGCGAGGTGCCGTGAGACACGGAGGGGCGACATACCAATGGTCGGTCGGCAGCGAGAGTTCCAGCGGATCTGCGAGGCTCCATATCTCGCCGACACGTGGTACACGTGGGACACGTGCGAAATGCCAATGATCGCCAAGCCGTCATGCTAAGCGCTCCAGCGGCTGTGCCGCGAGGCTCAGATCTCGCCGACGGATGTGCAGTCGGGATGCTGAGAGAACGATCGGCGGCTCAATCCGAGTCGCAACAACCATGACTGAGTCGACAGCGACACGGCGGGCGTGGAATTCCGCGCGGCAGCGGCGATGCTATGAATGGATCGCCCGACGGTTAAACAAAACGAACTCAAGCGATTTCTCGTATCAACATCAGCCACTCTCCCATGTCGTCGAAGCTCCTCTGGCAACCCAACCCTCCTTGGTAGACCTAGAGGGACGGTTAACCGACTGTCTCCGAGTCTAACGACATGCAGAAGCCGCATCGCGAGCGACATGAACGGCTGCCCTACTAGTCAACAGCTTCCCCCAGTACCTCAGACGGTTAGGCTGCTCGGAGCTGTTAGCAGACACTTGTTGCGTCTAGGGCGACTAATCAGTAGGCAACCTAGAAAATACCACAAGCTGGTTGTGTCGCAGAGTGGTGTCTGTCAGTGTTCCTCGTGCAAATACGGTTTTTGCAGCAACGGTTCGCACAAACGAGTTGTGGCGAAATCTAAATGGTTGCAACGATTGTTATGGAACTCGTCGTCAGCAGAAACTAGTTTCGCGATGCATTTTTTTTTTATTGACATAAACATTAATGAGGATAATGCATACATCAAAAGCAGTCGTAACTGAGCGTGAGGGCACAGCACCATGCACTGCCCAGCAATGCCTCTAGGGCGGCAGGAACGCCCGCTTTGGCTTGTTCCAGATAGCAGCGAAGTTTGTCGACCACTTCCATTTTTTGTCACCTGTCTCCCTTATCCTCTCGAGCATTTTTTGCTCTGCTTCGAAAACACTCATGACCCGTTTTCCCTTCCCTGATGTCCCTGGCCGCAGGCTTCTGGCACCCATAGCTCTCGTGTACACTCTCGCGTGTAGCCTAAAAGCCGACCCAATCCTTCTGAGAACCCTCCGAGCTCTAAATTTCTGCCCTCGGAAAGTTGCTTCGCACCTCTCCACCCACAGCTGATGAAAAGTAATCGCTGTGAGGGTGAATGCGAACTCCTGTAATATAGCTCACTCCACAATACTGTCACGACTCGTAATATGAAACAAGCATTGACAACACGTACAAGAGCTTCAAATGCCAATATAATCCTCAGTATCAATGTTTCAACATCCAGCAAGATCGACCAGCTTTTCAAGGAAGAAAGTGTTTCTTAAAGCCTGCAGCTAAAATAGTGACCCCCCCCCCCCTTCTAGTTGGGTCCATTTGAAAGTTGTAGTGTTGTTCTGTTTTTTCTTACTGGCGCATATGATATTGGTCGACTCTCCACATTTCTTCTCAAACATAAATCGTCGCAAGCATGTGTAAAAGCGTCGCTCCAAGTTTGCGACGTGATTTACAACCAATGCCAAATTCACATTGCGAAGCAATGAAAAACTCATGCAAAGCAAGTCCAACTCACGCAAAGCAAATGCCTTAGAGCATGTCATTGCTAGGGCGGCAATGACAACATGAGAAAAACAAGAAGCGGATAACAAAGAATATCAGGGGATGAGCAAAGAGAAAGATAGTGCAACAGAATCGAGAACACGAAAGGAGAGATGCGTGAGCAAAATCCGCGGAATGGTAGGGAGATAGGAGGGTCATTGGTGTTGGTGGAATGAGAGGAGAGCATGAGGGCGACGGAAAGGGAGGGGAGAGAGCAAGGGCGACGGAAAGGGAGGGAAAAGAAAGAGGGCGACGGGAAGGGAGGGGAGAGAAAGAGGGCGACGGAAAGGGAGGTGAGAGAGCTGTAAAGAACTAAGGTAAGAATGGGGTAGATTACGCGAAGGTTTGGGTACAAGACTAGGGTATCGAGAAAGTTTGTATACCCCCTAAGGCTATCCCCAATATAGCCTAGATAATGATATCCATATATTTTGACACACCCCCATAGGCGAAATGGGGGATAGCCAGAGCAAGCAACGGTCACAAGACCAGTCAAGAGAAGAAACAAAACAAAGCTCAGGGTGGATCACAACGTCACCACACACACTGAGCACAAGCAAACGACCACATAGCCAGTCCACATGCAGAGGTATATAAGCAACAAGAACAGCACAGTGATCTCAAGCTAGCAAGAACAAGCATGCATGAATATATATAGATCACAGTACAAGCAGAGACTACAGCAAGTGTGGAAACGTAGGCACAAGGCCCAACAAAGTACAAAAGCGCTGATGGTCACCAGACGGAAGTGCCTTGGTGAATATATCAGCAGTGTTGGCCCGAGTAGCCACGTAAGCAAGGCGAAGCTGACCCCGCTGCTGCAACTCTCGAGCCAAGAAGTAAAGCAGAGCGATGTGCTTCATTCTGTGCTCCAGTCTGTGCTCCTGACACAAGGCAATGGCGGCCTTGTTGTCTACGTACAGCACTGGAGGAGAACGAGGCCGCTCTCCCAAGTCGGTCAGCAGGTAGGTGAGCCAGCGTAACTCCTGTGCAGCCATGGCAGTGGCGTAGATCTCAGCCTCACAACTAGAGCTGAGAACAAAAGATGAGCGTGTAGACCGCCAAGAAACAGAGCCGGAGCCAAGGCTGAACGTGTAACCCTGTGACGACCGCTGTGTAGCTTGGTCGTCAACCCAAGAAGCGTCTGTGTGACCAGTGAGGACAACTGGACTCCGCCCTCCAAGCACGAGCCCCATGCCCGATGTACTGCACAAGTAGCGCAGTACCCTCTTAACAGCATCCATGTGCACCTTTCGGTGCCGACCAGGAGCCACGTAGCGAGGCAGAAGGCCAAGAGGGTACGCAAGGTCAGGACGAGTGCAGGTCATCAGGTACATGAGGCAGGCCACTAGCTCTGGGTAAGGACCATTCGGCTCTATGGACTCGTCCGAAGGTGGAGCTGAGAGCAAGTGACCTGTAGCCAGAGAAGTGTGCTGTGTTGAGGACCAGGTGAAGCCGAAGCGCTGAAGGACCTGCTGCACCATGTGTGACTGAGTCAGTCTGATGGTGCGGCGTGCTCTGTCCCGGGTGATCTGCAAGCCAAGATAGCTGCGCAGCTCACCCAGGTCTGTGCACGTGTGTCTCTTCTGCAGCTTCGACTTCACCAGGGCGAGAGCCTCAGTGTGAGCAGTGGCAAAACCAAGTCGTCGACGTACACGAGGATGTAGAGCGGCGGCAGTGAAGTGTCAGTGCGCAGAAACAGCGACGGGTCAGCAGTCGAATGAGCAAACCCAAGAGCCGCAAGTGTCGTCCTCCATGTGTCGTGCTACTCACGTGGTGCGTGGCGGAGACCGTAGACCGGCCGCCGGAGGCTCCACTGGGTACCAGGAGGGAACGACCCAGTGAAGCCGGGTGGGAGGCGCAGCCAGATCTCCTCGTGCAAGCTGCCCTGTAAGAAAGCAGTGCTGAAGTCAAGAGAGTGAAGCTTGTAGTCACGCTGAGCGGCAACGTGCAGCAGCACCCGAAGAGTGGTCATCTTCGGGGTGGGGGAGAAAGTCTGGAAGAAGTCAACTCCCTCTCGCTGACTGAAACCCCGAGCAACGTAACGAGCCTTGAAGACAGGCGGAGAACCTGGCGGCCGCTTCACCCTGAAGATCCACATGCCACTGATGATGTTCGCCCAAGGAGGGGGAACGTCGTCGACGTACGTGTCTGTGGACTTCCAGGATGCCATCTCTGCGTCCATGGCTGATTGCCACTAAGAGGAGTACTGAGTCGCGATCGCCTCAGCATAAGAGCGCGGGGTGGGGATGTCTGGTGCATCCGGGTCTCCCTCAGGGGCAAGCAGCATGGCCACCAGTTGAGGCGCAGCGGCCGCAACACACTCAAGGTCCTCGTGCCTGTCCTGAAGGACGTCCGTGCTAAGAGCACACTCACCCCCGACGGACGGAGGACAGACAGACTCAGACTCATCAACAAGACTCGCAGCTTAGTCTAGACGACAGGCAGCAGCAAAGTCGACAAGCTCAGTGACTAGGGAAGACGCAGCAGTGGACTCAAACGACGGATCAGTGACAACTGTGGTTAGCAGACGCGTGACAGTAGGGTGCTCAGTACGAAACTGGTCAGACTCAGGGTCTGCAACGACAGGCAGAGAAGACGCAGGAGGAGATGGCAGAGGAACATTCTGCGGAGGAGAGGAAGGACGACGGACTACAAGAGAAGGGCCGGGGACAGACGGCTGACGCTGACGAGGAACACGACGTTTGGAACGACTAGAATAGACAGGTGAGACAGGACGCGACGCAGGGTCACGACGCTCAGTAAGGCCCTCTGTCTGCTCAACGTAAGGAGAAGTAGCAGGCAGAGGTGAGCCAGGCTGTAACGGAAGACCATTAGACGACGGGAGGCTAAGAACCTGGCGAAGCATGGAGTCAGGCGGTGGCAGAGACGACGGAGACGGCGGAGCAAAGAACAGGCACGGCTGTGCAGTGCCACCAGCACCAGCAGCTCTAGCACCCTCAACAGCTCCTGCACCTTCAGCAGCTCCAGCACCCTCAGCAGCTCCAGCACCTCCAGCAAGTCCAGTACCCTCAGCAGCTCCAGTACCTCCAGCAGATCAAGTGCCTCCAGCAGCTCCAATACCCTCAGCAGCTCCAGTACCTCTAGCAGCACCAGCGCCCTCACCAGCTCCAGCCCCTCCAGGTGCAGCACCCCTAGAACCGGCACCCCCTCTCCCAGGGTCTCCAACCGCAGTGCCACCAGCAGCAGCACCCTCAGACACACCACCGCCAGCCCCAGCATCTCCAGTACCCCCAGTCCGAGCACTTCCGGGACCAGCAACACCAGCACCTCCAGCAGGCAAAGGACCAGCACCACTCCCAGCTCCAGTGACGTCAGCAGAAGAACCCCCAGCAGTAGAGCCCTGAGGTGCAGAAGCGCGACGGTGACGGCGACCGTATCAATCGTGCAGCTGTTGGGAGGTGAGAGGCACACGCGGACGAAGACGGCTACTCCAAGGAGACCGCGTAACAGCACTTTCAGAACCCTCAGACAACTCACCTCCCAGACCCAGCACCCCCAGGCTCCGCACACGGAGGTGCAGCACCCCCAGACGCAGCACCCCTAGGCTCAGGACTTCCAGGCTCCTCACGCGCAGGCTCCGCACCTCCAGGCTCCGCACCCTCAGGCTCCTCACGCTCAGCACCTCCAGACTCAGCACCCCCACGCTGCGCACCCCTAAGCTCCGCACCTTAGGGACAGCACCACTCCCAGCCGAACCGGAGTCACCAGTGACCTCAACAGGCGTAGGGATAGGAGGGTCTACCTGAGAAACACCTATAGGAGCAGGGCCTGGCACAGGGAGGGGGTCTACCTGGGGAGGACCTGGGGCGAGAAAGAGCGCTGGGAGGGGGCGAGGAGTAGTGCGGTAGGGGAAGAGGTGGTAAAAGGGGACCGACTCGTAAAAGGGGACTTGCGGCATGAGCACAGGCGGAAGGAGGCTGCAGTGGAGTGCTGCGAGGGGCCTAGGCGTAGAGCCGGGATCAGGGGGATGGCCAGCAGCCAATCTCCTGCCCCAGGCCCGAGGAGAGACTGCAGGCGCTGAGTGTGGCCAAAGAGAGGGTTCAAGGGCATTTCCCGAGAGGCATCGAGTAGCTCAATGTAACGGGCGGTATGGACTGCCAGCGACAAGGCCTGCTGTAGCTTCGGACCATCAGGGGTCCGCCGGCCGACCTGAAGCGCCTCTAGTCTGTCTGGGGGCAGCGCGGCCTCTGCCGCTGCCAGGCGCCGTGGCTCCTGCTCCTGCCACCCCTACCGCCCCTGCCACTGCGACGCTTCCCACTACGAGCGGAAGCAGCTTTGACCTCCTCAGCACCAAGGTAGTCGTGAGCAGCAGCTGCGGAGGCGTAGGAGGGGGTGAGAAGGGAGGGGGAGCACCCCTCGAAGAGGGGAGAGCGAGGAGTGCCACGAGCAGCACCTACAGCGAGGATGTTCTTCTCTACTGCGAGGAGGTGCTTCTCGAAGTCGTCGACAGTGAGAGTGGGGGGGTCTAGCACGAGGAAGTGGTCCCTGACTGAGCTAAGAGTGTCAGGGAGGCGGGTGACGAGGAAATAGAGAGTGAAGTACATCGGGGGGGGGGGGGGGGTTAGCGGCGCAGAACTCGGCTGAAAGGGCGGCACGAAAGCAAGTGTCAGTAGCGCGCAGGTGGGATATGAGGTCCTCAGCAGTGGTGAACGAGGAAAGGTCGGAAAACAGGTAGGGTAGCATGAGCTGACCTATGGCTGCAGTGGCCGGGGAGGAGTAGCGCGCAACTATAGCGTCGTACAGCTTCTTAGCTGTGCTGGCTGAAGTGCGGGCGCTCAGTAATCGGCAGATGGCTCCTTATAGCTAGGCGTGCAGTAGCATCACGAGTTTGCCATTGCGAGCGTTCGAGAGCAGGAGCAACGACAGTGCCAGACACGTAATCGAAAAGTGAAACACCCTCTTTGGCATCGGTCAGAAGGAACAGTTGGAGATCATCTAACCAGACAGTGAACTCTATGGGGCGACCGTCAGGCTCGAACGCGAGAACGTTAGGCGTCGTCATAATGGTAGCAGGCAGAGGCAGAAGGCAGCAGGTAGCAGACAAGAGGCAGCAGGCATCAGGCCACAAGCAAAGACCGATGCAGCACGCAGTAGGCAGGAGACAGCATGCAGCAGGCAGGAGACAGCAGGCAGTAGGCAGCAGGCAGGAGCGGCCGCACGCGAGCTCCTAAGGCAGCGCGCTAAGCAGCTGCGGGCCGCGCAGGCGGCGGACGCGACGCGCGGCGCAGCGGCGGGCCGCGCTGGCGACAGACGTGGCGCGCGGGGCGACGGCGGGCTGCGCGCGGCGTCGAGCTGCGCGGGCTCTACGCGGGCTGCGCGGGCAACGCGGGCCGGCGCGCGGCGCTACAGCAGCGGCGCACGCTAAAAACAGTGGCGCGCGCGCTAGTAAGCGAGGCGCGCGCGAAAAAAAAAAGTGACGCGCGCTGCAGCCGAGGCACGCGCGGGCAGTAGGCAAGGCAGGCAGTTAGGTGGGCCCGATTCTTAGGTCCTAGAGACCTCCTGCTCTAGTTACCATGTAAAGAACTAAGGCAAGAATGGGGTAGATTAGGTGAAGGTTTGGGTACAAGACTAGGGTATCGAGAAAGTTTGTATACCCCCTAAGGCTATCCCCAATATAGCCTAGATAATGATATCCATATATTTCGACAAGAGCGAGGGCGACGGAAAGGGAGGGGAGAGAGCGAGGGTGACGGAATGGGAGGGGAGAGAGCGAGGGCGACGGAAAGGGAGGTGAGAGAGCGAGGGCGACGGAAAGGGAGGGGAGAGAGCGAGGGCGACAGAAAGGGAGGTGAGAGAGCGAGGGTGACGGAAAGGGAGGGGAGAGAGCGAGGGCGACGGAAAGGGAGGTGAGAGAGCGAGGGCGACGGAAAGGGAGGTGAGAGAGCGAGGGCGACGGGAAGGGAGGGGAGAGAGCGAGGGCGACGGAAAGGGAGGTGAGAGAGCGAGGGCGACGAAAAGGGAGGGGAGAGAGCGAGGGTGACGGAAAGGGAGGTGAGAGAGCGAGGGCGACGCAAAGGGAGGGGAGAGAGCGAGGGCGACGGAAAGGGAGGTGAGAGAGCGAGGGCGACGGAAAGGGAGGTGAGAGAGCGAGGGCGACGGAAAGGGAGGGGAGAGAAAGAGGGCGACGGGAAGGGAGGGGAGAGAGCGAGGGCGACGGAAAGGGAGGTGAGAGAGCGAGGGCGACGGAAAGGGAGGTGAGAGAGCGAGGGCGATGGAAAGGGAGGTGAGAGAGCGAGGGCGACGGAAAGGGAGGTGAGAGAGCGAGGGCGACGGAAAGGGAGGGGAGAGAGCGAGGGCGACGGAAAGGGAGGGGAGAGAAAGAGGGCGACGGGAAGGGAGGGGAGAGAGCGAGGGCGACGGAGAGGGAGGGGAGAGAGCGAGGGCGACGGGAAGGGGGGGGAGAGAGCGAGGGAACGGTAACAAGGACCTGAAGAGGGATCGACGGGACATGCGATGGTACGTGCGATTGGACGGGCTGACGGGACACGGAGGGTGGAGTGCGTTGGGAAGTCGATTGTGATGGAACGCGAGGGCGGCGGGAGGCAGAAGAAGAAGGGCGAGGGGGGTGAGGACTGGCAATGGGAGAGAGGAAGGGCAATAAGAGAGAGAAAAGGCGACGAGAGAGAGGAAAGGCGATAAGAGAGAGGAAGGCGACGGGAGAGAGGAAAGGCGACGAGAGAGAGGAAATGACGGGACAGAGGAAGGCGACGGGAGAGAGGAAGGGCGGCGGGAGAGAGGAGGGCGACGGAAAGAGGAAAGGAGACGGGAGAGAGGAAAGGCGACGGGAGAGAGGAAAGCGATGGGAGGGCGTTTCGTTGCGAGTGTGATGGCGACGTTGCAAAGAGTGACGCAGCGACGTCAGAGCGAGGCCGATTGCGACAGGGAATGTGACAATTTCACGATATGCGGAAAACCGATATTCTACTAAATAATTAGGCAACCAAGTTAAAAACATAATCGATGCACCTAGGCAGAAAATGTCTAGGTTCTCAGCTATTCTATGCTAGGCTGAAAAATAGTCTTCAGGAGTTGAAACTAGCTACGGTAGTAGTGAACCCATGGACCGCTTGAACATGAAGCTGGGTCAAGCGATCGAAGCCATTGTTGTGCACCCGTCGTGCAAGTACACGAATGCGACTCCTTGTACAAGCGGCAAATTTTGTTTTGGCGGGAGCCAATCACGTAAGCTCGATCTGTTCAGACGGGTTGTTTGGAACAGGGTTCTTGCTTGCTTCAACGGGCTTACGAAAAAACTCATTTTCAAGTTGGGATGGGGTTCACTATTTTAGCTGCTGGCTTTAAAGCTGCGGTCTACATACGAAAATGTATTTTCGGTGGGTATTTTGGGTGCACACCCTAGGACGCATGCTGATTGGGGAACGAAATGACTCTTTCCATAAATGAGCACGCGAATGTTTCAAACAGAACTGGCGAATCCCGCCAGTTTCGTGAAAGGTTCGGTTCGGGGGTAATTATTTCCGGAGGATTGGGTTGTGTTGGCGATTTCGCCAACACGTGCAACCAATCCGAGTTGGGGAGCAGAATGGCGCGAAATTTAGAAGCCAATCCTGTTTCGCCCAATTTTCAGAGGAAAGGTTGTGCTTTTAGGGTGCAGTAACTCCACCTCGCCACTCAAGGTTGGAGCGAAGCTAAGTGCAACCGTGTTTTCAAGTGATAAACCTAGGCCTCCCGCAGGAGGTATGTAGGCGACAGCTTTAATAGGAACTCCCGATCATCCACGCTGTTATATGTATTCTGGATAGTGTCCCTCGATTGTATCAAAGAAATCGCAACAGAAAATAGATTGTACACCACTTACCCCTGGAACTTTGTGCCGGCTTGAACTAGTGTAGTAGTTCCACACGTGAACTTGCTTGATTCCGTAACTGGTCAGCAAAGAGCTACTTCTGGCATGAATTCAACGACTAACCATTCAACTTAAACGAGTCGTAACCTGGTCGAACCGAGGAACATGGACAACTGGAAGAAGGACACGGACAACAAATTGTAGCCCGATCAGGCTTGAGAATAATCAGAGAAATTACAAGAAGGGGGAGGGGGCAGAGGGACGGGGGGTGGGAAAGCACATGAATGTTCTCTTGTCACAATCGGGAACAACCGGTTTGAAAAAAATCCAAATTACAACATCATGCCATTGAATTGTGCCACTCACCATCATAGAAAGGCATGAAGATAGCAAGAACTCACCATCACCAAAGGATGGCATGAAGATAGCAAGAACTCACAATCACCAAAGGATGGCATGAAGATAGCAAGAACTCACCATCACCAAAGGATGGCATGAAGATAGCAAGAATTCACCATCACCAAAGGATGGCATGAAGATAGCAAGAACTCACCATCACCAAAGGATGACATGAAGATAGCAAGAACTCACCATCACCAAAGGATGGCATGGAGAGAGCAAAGACTCACCATCACCGTAGGATGGCATGGGGAGGGGAGTGGAGATAATTCTCCTGGCAACGGTGGCAATGGTTAGCTGCTGTCACCTCCCTCAGCTGCAGCAAGTTGTCTGCAGAGGGGAAGGGGGAGCGTTAGAAGTGAGGGGGAAGTATGGGAGAAGGGTGGGGGAAGATGGCGTTGGGGGTTGAGTGGAGAGCCCCAAGGGGAGAGGCGGCGGGAGAGGAGAGGCTCGAGTGGTCGTGCCTCAAGTCGTCTGCAGGGAGCAGGGGTGGGTGTCGGAAAGCGAGGGGGAAGAGAGGGTGTTGGGTGTTGAGTGGAGAACACGCAAGGGAGAGGCGGTGGGAGGGGTACAAGCGGTGCGTCTAGTCATATCGTGTCACCTTGAGTGAACACGTGGTGTTGCCCTTCCAGCTCCCCCTCAAATCTCATCATCCGCATGCCCTCCTCTCTCTATCGCGCGCGCTCCTCTTCATACTCCGCCAGCTCGCTCCCCTCTAGCGTCCCGTCGTCCGCCTCCTCGTCCCCCACGCCCACGCCTTCGCCGTGCAGGTGGCGCTTCCGCGGGTCGTCGGAGTGTACGCGGAACGGCTTCCGCGCGCCGTGCAGGCGCGCGTAGCCACCACTCGCACGCGCGGTCGTCGTGCTGCTGCTCCACCTCTGCCAAGAGCGGATCGAACGCCACGTGGACGACGCGAGGGTTCTCCTCGCTCGTCGCATCGCCTACCGCGTCGAGGACCATGTCGTCGGCTGTCGCGCTGGCGACGCGTGACGCGAGATCCTCGATACGAAACGAATCGCTTAACGAAATTCGCCGTCTGGTAAGCTCGAGGAGTTTGCGACCGTCAGGAGCACGGGAAGCGCGGAGCACGGGAAGCGCGGGTGAGAATGAGAGTTATGACGAGAATCAATGCATGCACGTTACCAGTTAGCGACAGTCGCTGAGACTCGTACCCGCTAAAGAGTCGCTATAGTGGCTGCAAACCATCGTAGGTGTCGTAAGCGGAAGTGATGGGGAAGAAAGCTTACTAGGCTGACCCAGTTTCATAGTTTTACCTGGTCACTCAGAGAAACTGAATCGGCTGGGTCCGCGCGGGACAAGCTATGGTGACTGGCGAAGATTGGAGTGCGTGTGGCGAGGCGATGCGAACGCCGCTTTCGCCCTTTTCGCCTTGTGAAGGTTGGAGGTTGGAGTTCTGTAATGAAGTGTACTTGCGAAAGTTGGATAGAGGCTATTTCGAATTCCGCGAGGCGAAGGTGTTATCACATCAACATTGAAAAGAGGTTCCGGAAGGTGGTTAGGATTGGCGAAATTTCCATTAACAATTATCCTTTACATTATTACCTATCCCCCCCAACCTCCTCCCCCTACACCAACTCTCCACATCACATTTCTACTGCACCACAAGTCACATCCATCATGTGCATGTTATCACCCCCTCAACTTTTTGAGGGCGAACCACGTGAGTCACACCAAGTCTAAATGACAGCGGCAAGCTGGCACTCGGTGGTGTTGGTCATGGAGTAGCTGTTGCCGTTGCCGAAGCGCAGCTCCTGCACGCAGGGCCGGAAGTCCCACAAGTACGCATACACAATGTTGACTGTCTCCCCGGGAAGCATCTGCAGAGTGCCGCTAGCACCACGGTTCATGCGCATCTCACAGTACCCCGGCGTCGTCTGCACAAAGATTTCGCCTTGCTGGTACTGCGAGGGGTTGGGATCGGGGTTGTCGAGGATGCCCTCCCACACGTTGCCGAAGTTGAAGCACTGCCACACACGCAGCGGGCTGGTGATGTTGTAGGCGCAGCCGTTGTAGAAGGTCATGTTGTAGATGTCGTTGTGCAGGTCGTACGGCCCCAGGTATTGCGACCGAATCGTCACCGCCGTGCGCCCGCAGGCTGGGAAGGGGGAGGGAGGAGATGTGGAAGGGGGGAAAGAGGAAGGGAATAATGTTATCAGAATTCAGATTGTCACCACCATGCACCCGTACACTAAGCACACAACAGAGGAGGAGGCAACGGGAGCAGAGGAATGAGAGGCAAGGGGAGCAGGGGAATGAGAGGCAAAGGGAGCAGAGAAATGAGAGACAAGGAGAGCAGAGACAGGTTGTGAGAAGAAGAAACAGCAGAGCGAAGGAACCAAGGAAGGGAAGAGAGGGAGAGTGGGGAGCAGCGTTGCGTACAGGTGGCGAGGGCCTGGCGGCGGGGGATGTGGTCGAGGTAGCCGGGCAGAGGCTCGTGGTGAGCGAAGGTCTCAGCCGCCAGAATGCGCGCGCCCTTCCTCTGCTGCCCCGCCGCGCCAGCCACTCCGCCAGGCGCGGCGCCATCCGTAGGGACGAGGCCCCTGGCGACCTTCATGGCGTCCCGCGCTCCACTCACCGCCGCCGCCAGCAGCCCCACCGCCAGCGCCGCCAGCACCAGCACGCGCATGCCAGCCGTCGCCATGAGGAGAGGCGCGGAGATTATAGGAGAGAGGCGAGAAGCGTGAAAGGTTTGGTGAATACCTCAGTGGGAGGAGTAGTGGGAGCACTGGGCGAGCTGATGAATTGCTGACGGCCCATCATGGCTGTTTTATAGGAGGGGATAGACCGGGTGATGCGGGGCACGGATGATGCTAAGAGACGGTTTCTCTCCTCTGGCACGGAGGAGGAATCGCCCTTCCTGCTGCAGCTGCTGGTGTTGGAGCTGAGGAGCCATCAATGCTGCGGCAATGGAGGAGGTGAGAAGTCAGGACGGCACGGCAAGAGTCACTGTTGATTGCCATGCTGCCTGCAGAAATCGTTCCTCTCACATCGCCACTGCTAAACTGTTCCTCTCCTCGTGCCCACTTGGAATTCCCGCTGAGAACATCCGCTTTGAGCGGCCGCTGCTGCGCATAGGAAGCTGCCGTGAGACACGGAGGACGACATGCCAATGGTCGGCAGAAAGAGTTCCAGCTGATCTGCGACGCTCCAGATCTCGCCGACACGTGAGACACGTGTGCGAAATGTCAATGGACGCCAATCGTCCTGCGAATGCTCCAAATCTGCCGCGCGGCTCAGAACTTGCGAATTGATGTGCTGTCGGGACGCAGAGATTTCAATCGGCGGCTCGATCTGCGTCAAAACAACCATGGGAACCGACAGCGACACGGGCGTGGAAGTCCGTTGCCTTGAACGGATCGATCGACGGTTAAACCAAACGACTGCATGCGATTCGCCAGATCGGAATCAGCCACGCTCCCATTTCGTCGAAGCTCCTCTGACCAACCAGTCCCTTTGGTCGAGCTTGGGGACAGTTAACCGGCTGTCTGCGAGTCTAACGACATGCAGCAGTCGAATCGCGAACGACATGGTGGTTGCCCTACTGAACAACGGCTTTCCAGCATTTCAGACGGTTAGGCTGCTGTCTGGTCGGAGTAGTGTGCGTGTCGCTTTGTCGCTTGATGGTTCTACGAGCAACTAATTGGTTGGCTTGGCAACCTAGAAAATACCGCAAGCTGGTTTTGGTGGAGGGTGGTGTCTATTGGTGTGCCTCGGGCAAAACGGTTATTGCAGCATCACGAAGCCTAGATTCGCACAAACGAATTTCGGCGAAAGTCATATGGATACGAAGAATATCAGGGCGTTAGTCTCTGAACGAATTTTGGTTTACGACGCTGCCGACTGGAAACTACTGTAACCTTGCTCACCTTGCATATCTGACAAGCCTCATCTTTCACCGAAGTTAACTTCGCCGTAATCCATCAACCATCTCATATCGAACACGCTTGTAGGAAAAATGTTGGAACACACAGTGTTTAGCGAATCCCAACTTGAAGAGAACCAAGACTAGCGAAGCGAGAACACCTTGTATAGAGCACATGAGACAAGACAAGCACACCAACCAGATATCACACTACGTACATGAGTGGGTACTAGAACCCAGTCAGCAAAGCCATTCAGAAGCCCACCACCTGCTCAATGAGCACAGACATCTCCTCCCCTTCCTCCTCTCCCTTGCTCTTCCTGGGCGGCAGGATGCCAAACTCGCTCTGCCGGGTGGCCTACAGCTTCTCCAGAAGCTTCTCATCGGCGTTGAAGGCGGCGCGCTGCACGGAGGCAGGCAGCGTGCGCCACACCGAGTTAGTCCCCGCCAGGAACCCCTGCTGGAAGCGGCTCTTGGGAATCATGGCAATGCACTCCAGACCCTCCCCGTATGCCAGCTGCACATGCAATGAGGGGAGACCAGGGGAATCTGTTATCAACGGCCCTCAAAAACAGGCTCTTGGGAATCATGGCAATGACATAGGCAATCTGGGCAAAAATACAAATGGGGAGAGGGGCAGAGGGAAAGGGGACAAGATCAAGATGCTGTGCTACTGCAGCAGAACACAGCAGAGCACAGCTTCAGTGAGCAAGCAAACGTTCCTTTCCACTCATAGCAGAGTGTGGGAAGCCAGCGGGCATGACCACCAAGTCACCCTCCTTCACATCGTGCCTGCCATCCGGATACACCATCTCCACCCGCCCCTTGCCCTTGGCTTGGTCACATACACCATCGCCGCTGCATTCGCCAGCCACGCTGGCGCCGTCATGGCGTTGCCCTCCAGGCTGAAGCACGCCACTGCAAAGCCCACTTTGCGGAATGCCGGCAGCTTGTACCCGTTGGCTGCCGTGACCGTGCCGCCGCGCTTCACGTAGATGTCCGGCTGGCGGGCCTTGAGGTTGTAGGAGAAGTCTGCAAAGATGCTCACACCAGGTTTTGCTCCCTTGCCAAAGTGTGGCTGATCGTTTCCCCCATATGCCTCCTCCTCCTCCCACTCATTCTCCTCTGCCTCCTCCGCCTCCTCCTCCGCCTCATTCCCATTCTCATTCCCATTCCCATTCTCAGTCTCTTTCTCATTCTCATTCTCCTCCTCATCCTCCTTCCCATAGTTTTCCAGCTCTGCCCGAAGCTGCGGAGTGACTTTGACAAATACGCTTTCCTGCTGCGCCTGCAGCAGCTGCTGCACCTCCCCCTCCTCCACGTCCCACGCCTGAGCCAGCAGGTCGTGGCTGGTTAGGAGGAGGTATGCGGGGAAGGGGTGAGAATGGGAAAGGGGAGGGAGTGGGGGAGAACTGACAAAAGAACAATAACTATAATGTTACATTCACAAAGAGCTAACGTGGGAGTCAATTACCTAGTCTCATGTCACCTGAAGCCGCGGCGAACTCACCTGAAGCCGTGTAGAATGCTTCCGAAATTCTCCTTATGCGCGCCCATGAGGTGGAAGGCGGTGTAGCGGCCGGCAGCACTTGGCGCGCCCTTGGAGGTGTTAGCGGCATGGGAAGTATCGGCCACGGAGAGCACCTGAAACGGCTGCTGGCCGTTGTTCCAAATCCACCGTGCCCACCCCCGGGGAATCGCAAAGGCGTCTCCCTCCCTCAGCCGCCTGAACAGTGCAGAACCAGGGGACGCATGGCATGGAGCAGACAGAAACGGCTGCTGAGGTGGACGCAAACAGATGTAGGCGGAACAAGAAACGCAAGCGAGAGGGAAGGTTCGAGACAAAGAGTTGACTTGATGCACCGTTCCTACAGGTGACGGTGCTGATATGGGGTCCCATGAGACAAAGGTTCTTAAGGCTACCTGAGATTCGTTGGTGCTCCCATGGGGCTGATAAGGCCTGCCATAGCCTCGCCCTTCAACACGTAATAGGCCTGATGAATACGCACAAGGCATGGTGAGAGAAGAAGGCACGTGAGAGAGGAATGCGGGGTGAGGGCACGGTGAGGGCACGGTGAGGGCACGGTGAGGGCACGGTGAGGGCACGGTGAGGGCACGGTGAGGGCACGGTGAGGGCACGGTGAGGGCACGGTGAGGGCACGGTGAGGGCACGGTGAGGGCACGGTGAGGGCACGGTGAGGGCACGGTGAGGGCACGGTGAGGGCACGCACCAGCAGAGCAAGTCTTCGAATCATCCAGTGACAAACCAGCACCAGCAGAGCAAGTCATGAAGCGGGAGAGAACAAAATCACAGAGAATATGTTGCTTTGCAATGGTACCTGCGGGGAGTTGGCATATAGTGGCAGCTCAAGGAACTGGCTCTGCACTGTTATCAGCGCCGCCGCCACATGCGCTTCCTGGAAGTATGGCAGGAAGAGAAAGGGACATATCACGAGTTCCCCTCAATTTGTCCAGCAAAGAAAAAAAAAAGAAAAATGACAAAGAAACAAGTACAGGCTTGGGTAAACAAACGAAGGCCAAGTTCCGCGACCACATAATCACAGGCAGATTGAGAGGCGTTGCCTGCTGCTGCCTGAAAGGCGTTCCCTCACTCACCTGCAGCTGCTTAAAATCTTCGTTCCACACCTCCACGCTCCCTCCGCTGCCCCGGACCCTCTCCCCGGGCTGCCCGGGAAGAAAATCCTGCTCCTGCTCCTTTGCGAAGGCACCCACCAGCAGCGCCACTAGCAGCGTCGCGAGCAGCGACCCCAGCAGCGCCAGCACAATCTCGAGCCTCCCCATGCTAGCTCGGCTCGGCCCACTACCGCCGTTCAAGAAGCCCCAGCCCGAGTGCAAGGCGGTCGCAGAAAAAACCAGCCCGACTAGTTCGGCCCACGCCTTGCTGCTCACGCCTTCCTGCCCACTACCGCTGTTCAAGAAGCCTCAGGCTGAGCACAAGGCGGTCGCAGAGAGAACAGCTCAACCACTCGATCGATGAATAAAAAAAAATGGCGCGAATTTCTCACGCAAGCGTCATCAGAATCGCTACGAAAAAGACTCCTTCCTCAAAGCGCTACAGGGTATTCCTTAGACTTCTTAAAGGATGATGGCCGGATGGATTCGCTACGAGCAAGACGCCGACCCGAAAGCCGCGCTAGGGGATGTAGACGCACGCGAGTCGAGCGTGGTGAGGAGGCGGCGCGAATCAAGTCTTATCAAGTCGAGCGTGGTCCGTCCGTCCGTCCGACTCGCTCACGGCGGACGACCTCGGGTTTCCGCCGCCATCGCCGCAGCGGAACCCGCGCAGCGGCGGGGCGGCCTCTTCGCATCCGTCCATGCAGCCCCGCGTCGACTCGCCGGCGATGCGCGCCGGGTCCGCTCCTCTCCATCTCGCCATGCGGAGGCATCTCCATACCAGCACGCCCGCCGGTCATGTGACACAATAACATGTAGAGGCTGGTATGAAAGCATGTAACATGAAGGTATGTAGAGGCTGGTATGACAGAGGCGTGTGGTGCGGAGGAATGCCTGGCGGCATGGATTGAGATGCGCGTGGAGGCACATCAAGAAACAAACTAACAGAATTGCATACGAACAAGAGTGGAAAAAATCAGTAAAGATTGTCCTCATTTTATCTTTCGTTACAAGTGCCTGAAAAGCCACAAAATCAGCCCCAGACAACTAGATAACAGCTCAGCTTTCCAAACCGTGACAGCAGCCTAACACATTATTGTTCACCCCAAGATTGGTGTAGCTGAAGCATCACCACTTCTTAATCAGCTGTACCTGCAAGTGTCCCCTGTAACTGTAACCTGCACTCATAACGAAACACTTACCCACCCGCCATCCATGCATAGCCATCTAACGGATGCTAGCCTTCATCGCATCAAAGCCCTCAACCCAGCTGCAAGCATCACCACTTCTTAATCAAATGTAGCTAGCGGCAAGTATACCCTGTAGCCTGCACTCCAGAAATCCTGTCAACCCCCAGACACAACCATCAAGCGGATGCTAACCATCATCACCGCATCAAACCCCTCGTGATCCCAGCAGCCTTCTCATCCCAGCTGTTGTCTTGTCTTGATAACGCTCTTGAGCGCCGTGAGCCACACGCCACACTCCTCCCAGTCCTTGGTCGTCAGATCCACCTGTCGTTGAGTGAGCAAGTGAAGAGGAGGGAGGTGTGAGAGGGGGGAGGGGGAGCGGTAAGGGAGGGGAGCGCATGTGTGTGTTTTTTCATGCTGGAAGGAGGGGATATGTGTCTGTGCGTGTGTATACGCTGGGGGAGAAAAATGTGAGTGGTCTTGTCAAAGTGCAACACCTCACATATATCCATCCACCTCTTACCACCGCTCTCCACCCACCTGGATGTGCAGAGCAGTGGCATAGTCCCCGGCATCCAGAGCAGCACAGAGTGGCCCCAGCTTGCCAGCTACGGAGGGCGACACATCGCGCTGGTTGAGGCGCTGCAGCAGCAGCCCGAGCTTCTTGCTGTTGGCGTCCATCTCCCTCTTCTTCCCCGCATTGCCCTGCGCCGCCACCGCCGCTGCCACCTCCTTGTACACCCTCCCCAGCGTGCCTGCCACTGGGCGCAGCTCAGCTGGGGCGAGAGGGAGAGAGGGGGAGAGAGGGAGAGAGGGGGAGAGGGGAGGGAGAGCAGCACACACCCGGTTCAAGAGCTATCAATAGCCAGCTTGTCTCAAAGAAGCACACTCACGGGCCACGCCGTGGAGGGGGTGGGGGGGGAGAAGGAGAGACGAGAGAGGGCCGGCAAAGCAGCACATTCACAGGGCACGTTGTGGGAGGGAGGGTGGGGAGGGGGATGAAAGACGAGAGAGGGCATGCAAAGCAGCACATCCGGTTTTTTTCGAAACCCAGCTTGTCTCAAAGCAGGGAGATCTGAGAAAGCAGGCAGGGAGGCACACTCTTGGGCCAAATCGTGTGGGGGAGGAGGGGAAGACGAGAGGCGAGAGACGAGAGAGGCGGGCTGGCAATAAAAAAAGAAAACTCACGGGCCACGTTGGAGGTGTCGGCTGTTTGCACCGTGGGCGGCGGGGCGGGCGGCGCAGCCTCGGGAGCAGCGGGGGCGGGTGCAGCCGCAGCAGGAGCAGCAGCAGCAGCCCCAGGCGGACCCACAGCAGCAACACCAGGGGGGCGCACGCCAGGAGGGGGACCAGTGGGGCGCATCATGGGGGCAGCGCCAGGGGGGGGAACCCCGGGGGGAAGCACCCCAGGGGGGGGTGCGCCAGGGGGGAAGACTCCAGGGGGAGGGGCGGTGGGGGCCATGCCGGGAGGGGGGCCGGTGGGCATGCGGTGGGCAGGAGGGGGAGCTACTGGGGTGAAGGCCACTGGGCGGGGTCCCTGTGCTGCCCGTGCTGCTGGTGGCGGCTGCGTGGGCATCATCATTCCCGGCTGATGGGGGGAGGTGGGGTGGTGGTTGGGAGGGGAGGGGAGGGGAGGGGAGGGGTGGGGGGGGGAGAAGTGTTGGTTGGAAAGGTTGGGTTGAAGGCTATGGGGCGGGGTCCCTGTGCTGCCCGTGCTACTGGTGGCGGCTGCGAGGACATCATCGTTCCCGGCTGATGGGGGGAGGTGGAGGTTGGAAGGGATTAGGAGGAGTGTGGGTTGGTTGGGAAGGAGGACGTGAAGGACGAGAGAAAATACAAGCAATTGGTTAAGAGCGGTGAGAATGGGGGAAGATGGAGTGGGACGGAAAGACTTACTGGAGGGCCGGAGGGCATGTGATGTGTGGATGGAGGCGGGGCGGCCACAGGCGGGGGAGCAACAGGCATGAAGGACGGCTGGGGAGGGGTGGTAAGGATAAGAACAGAAGCAAGCACAGCAACAGGGGTTTAGGGCAAGAGAGAGATAAGCAGAGGAAACGAAGTGCATGAGAAGAATCGAGCCCCAAACCCCTGAGCTGGTAAGGAGTACCGACACTCAGTCCAGAAAATCACCTGCAGCTGTGACTTTCGCACGCTCCCTCCCTGCGCTACTACCCCAGCAGCAGGTGAGCAGAGGGCAGAAGCACAGCAAACCACATAGATGTATTGTCATGGCAGGAGCTCACCTGTGCGCCTGGTGCTGCCTGCCCTGCTGCCATGGGCTGCATGGGCTGCATGGGTGGGGGGTGCTGCGGCATGGCCACACCCGGGGGCGGTGCAGTGGGCATGAACATGTGTGGCCTTGCTCCTTGCTGCTGCTGCTGCTGCTGCTGCTGCTGCTGCTGCTGCTGCTGCTGCTGCTGCTGCTGTTGATACTGCTGCTGCTGCACCTGCTGCTGTTGCTGTTGCTGTTGATACTGCTGCTGCTGCTGCTGCTGCTGCTGCTGCTGCTGCTGCAGTTGCTGCTGCTGTGCATAGGACTGAGCAGGAGGAGCAACGGGCTGAGGCTGATATGTGGATGCATAGGAGGTTTGCGGATGCCGTTGCTGGGGCTGATGCTGCTGCGGCGGCTGCTGCGGGCGAGGTGGGGTGTGTGTGATCGGCTGCTGTGGCTGCTGCGGGGCCGCCTGGGCAGGTGCTGGTGACTGAAGATGGAAAACGGAGAGGTGCGAATCGTGATCAGGACATGGAAATGGGAGACAGCGGAAGGAAGAGAGGAGAGCGGAGCACGGGAAGGGGAGAACGGGGAAGGGTGAGGGGAGAACGGAAATCGGAAAAGGGAGGAAGGAAAAGGGACACCAGACAAAAAAGGCTAACAGCTTACTAGGGGTGTAGAGCTGGTACTAAGAAGAGTGAGCATAAGCAGCAGTATCTGCTGACTAACAGACGGCGGCGGCGGCGGCGGCGGCGGCGGCGGCGGCAGCAGCAGCAGCATTGTGGCCAGTTTTTGAGTCGACTAAAAAATAAGCAGCAGCATCTGCTGCCTAACAGACAGCAGCAGCAGCATTGTGGGCAACAACAAATGCCGGGCAGGAGATGAGGCAGGTACATGCCTGATAGTACGAAGGCTGAGCAGGCGCAACAGCAAATGCTGATTGCTGTGTGGCATACGGCTTGGCAGCAGCAGCAGCAGCAGTGGTGGTGGTGGTGGAGCCAACAGGCACATCGACAGACGTGAAGGGGAAGGGCGGGGCCGGCTGTGAGGGGTCCACGACAACTGCGGTGAGTGGCATGGCATGGACGAGGCAAGGAGTTTGGTGAGTGAACTGAATGCACAAGAGGATGCAATGCAAATGTGGCGCTCTGGTTCTGATCTCCCACCAATGAGGTGGTTTTTGAGGCGCCGCCTCAAAAACCACCTCCAAGACAGGGTTCTGATCTCCCACCAATCTGCAGCGATTGGACCTCCCCATCCCCCTCGTAAGGCACACACACAGATGAACACTGTCCTAAGGCCACACACACACACACGCACCCAACCACCCACCCACCACACACAGGGGCACCCACCCACCCAAACACACACACACACACACCCACACACATGCACCCACCCACCCAAACACACACACACATACACACACACACACATGCACCCACCCACCCAAACACACACACACACACACACACACACACACACACACACATGCACCCACCCACCCAAACACACACACACACACACACACATGCATCCACCCACCCAAACACACACACACACACACATGCACCCACCCATCCATACACACACACACACACACACACACACACACACACACACACACATGCACCCACCCACCCCCACCCAAACAAACACACACACACACGCACGCACGCACACACACACACACACACACACACACACACACCACACACACACACACACACACACACACACACACACACAGACAGCAGCAACCCACCGAGTCCGCTGCGGTAGATGCGCTCCTTCAAGGCAGCAGCAGCCGTGGCAGCCTCGGCCACACTCGGGTCATTCACACTCTCCTCCCACGGAGGCAGAAGAGACAACAGATGCTGTGCCGCCGCCGCCCGGCCCTGGGCCGCCAGTACCGTTGCGTACTCTGAGACGAGCGACGCCGCCCACCTGCCGCCGACCCTGCTTTGTCCTGTAGCCAAGCCCAGCACCACTGCCTTCTCAATAAGATCCTGGATTTGATCGAGGAAATAAAAAGGGAGAAAGGGGGGAAAAGGGGGAGGGGGGGGGGGGAATGGAGGCAGCAAAAGTAGTTACGATCTACACCTTGTACTTACAATGACCCTTCTTCCCATTCCAATCCGCTGCTTCTAGCACCACTTCAGCTTAAAACTCATCTGAAGGTGCGGCAGAGCTGGAATAATTGTTCTGGCAACCGGGGTGGGGCCAAAACGTTGACCTTGACTGCCACGGATGACAGAACACCCACACAAGGACACTAGACTCTAGACTTTGCAGGTGCAGCAAGGGTGGGGAGGCCTGGGAAGGCTGTTCGTGCAGCAGGGTGGAGGCCCAGTTGTCCACCACTCGGTCAATGGATCCCGCACACATGAAGCACAGCGTAGCCCTGGCGCCTCAAAAGCCATCCATGCATAGTAGTCCCTAGAGCGAACTCACTTGCAGGTGCGGCAGGGGCGGGGACCCCTGTGAGGGCTGCAGGCGGGAGGCCCAGATGTCGACGACTCGGTCAATGGAGCCCGCACACATGAAGCACAGCGTTGCCGCCTGCCACTGCCCCGCCGCTTCGAGCCGTGCTGCCAGCTCGTCACACAACACGGACCACTCGTGGCTTGGCGCATACTGTGAGAAGGGAAGGGGGTGGTGACACGAATGGTGAAAAGGGAAAAGAGTGGGGCGAATGGAAAGGGGTGCTTCCAACCGCGCTGCCAGCTCGTCACACAACACCGACCACTTGTGGCTCGGTGCGTACTGTGGGCGCAGGGGAGGAGTGGGGGGGGGGGGGGGGGAAGTTGAGACGTCCTAGAAGAAAAGAAAACAGCGTTGCCGCCTGCCACTGCCCCGGTTGCCTCCAGCCGTGCTGCCAGCTCATCACACAACACTGACCACTCATGGCTTGGCGCGTACTGTGAGGGCAGGGGCGGGAGGAAGAGTGGAGAGGAGAAGGGAGGTGGAGTGGAAACGGATGGAGAAGAGGCGAGGAGAGTGGGAGAATGGGAAGGGGGGGGCACGGAGCAGTCATGTATTCTGTGCAACAGTGCGAGGAGAGAAGCAGCTACCAGAGAGAAAAGAGAGTGTGCAATGAAGGTCAGAATTTAATCAGCAAGAGGAGAATGAGGGGCTGACAGTGCAGCGCATGGCTTACAGTGCAGCGCATGGCTGACAGTGCAGCGCATGGCTTACAGTGCAGCGCATGGCTGACAGTGCAGCGCATGTCTTACAGTGCAGCGCATGCTTACAGTGCAGCGCATGGCTTACAGTGCAGCGCATGGCTTACAGTGCAGCGCATGGCTTACAGTGCAGCGCATGGCTTACAGTGCAGCGCATGGCTTACAGTGCAGCGCATGGCTTACAGTGCAGCGCATGGCTTACAGTGCAGCGCATGGCTTACAGTGCAGCGCATGGCTTACAGTGCAGCGCATGGCTGACAGTGCAGCGCATGGCTTACAGTGCAGCGCATGGCTTACAGTGCAGCGCATGGCTTACAGTGCAGCGCATGGCTTACAGTGCAGCGCATGGCTTACAGTGCAGCGCATGGCTTACAGTGCAGCGCATGGCTTACAGTGCAGCGCATGGCTTACAGTGCAGCGCATGGCTTTACAGTGCAGCGCATGGCTTACAGTGCAGCGCATGGCTTACAGTGCAGCGCATGGCTTACAGTGCAGCGCATGGCTTACAGTGCAGCGCATGGCTTACAGTGCAGCGCATGGCTTACAGTGCAGCGCATGCTTACAGTGCAGCGCATGGCTTACAGGCAGCGCATGGCTTACAGTGCAGCGCATGGCTTACAGTGCAGCGCATGGCTTACAGTGCAGGCGCATGGCTTACAGTGCAGCGCATGGCTTACAGTGCAGCGCATGGGCTTACAGTGCAGCGCATGGCTTACAGTGCAGCGCATGGCTTACAGTGCAGCGCATGGCTTACAGGGCAGCGCATGGCTTACAGTGCAGCGCATGGCTTACAGTGCAGCGCATGGCTTACAGTGCAGCGCATGGCTTACAGTGCAGCGCATGGCTTACAGTGCAGCGCAATGGCTTACAGTGCAGCGCATGGCTTACAGGGCAAGCGCATGGGCTTACAGTGCAGCGCATGGCTTACAGTGCAGCGCATGGCTTACAGTGCAGAGCATGGCTTACAGTGCAGCGGCATGGCTTACAGTGCAGCGCATGGCTTACAGTGCAGCGCATGGCTTACAGTGCAGCGCATGGCTTACAGTGCAGCGCATGGCTTACAGTGCAGCGCATGGCTTACAGTGCAGAGCATGGCTTACAGTGCAGCGCATGGCTTACAGTGCAGGAGCATGCGAGTGTTTCCCGCCAGTCAGAGAGCGGCTGTGACGCCACGAGCCCTCTGATGTCACTCGCCACCACCGCTCCCAGGCAGCTGTGGACCAAGATAGGGTGGAAGGGGGTGGAGGGGAGGAGAGGGGACGAGGGTTAAAGCATGGGAAAGAGGGTTGAAGGAGGCTGTGACGCCACGAGCCCTCTGATTGCCGCTCGCCACCACCGCTCCCAGTAGCTGCATCTCCACCACATGGGGGGAGGGAGGGGGAGCGGAGAGGGGGGGTGGGAAGTGGAAACGAACGAGGGTTAAGAATGGGAAAGGAGGGAAAAGGGCTGCGATGCCACGAGCCCTCTAATGTCACTCGAGCACACGAGCCTCAGCACACTAGCGGCATTAGAGGGCTCGTGGCGTCGCAGGCCCAGCAGCTGTGATTGCTGCCAGGGATGGGCGTGTGCAGGCACAACGGTGTGGAGATGGGGAGAGGAGAAGAGCTGGTGGCAAACGGGAGAACGGGATGAGGGGATTTGATGTGCCTGGGTGCAAGGGAGGAAGAAAGAAGAGGCACACACAGAGCAGCCCTCGCTGCGTCTAGCAGAACAGAAACCACAAGGGAGGCTAGAGCTGCGTGAAATTGGGCTGGGGTGACAGGACGAGGGGGGGGGCCTTGTGCAGGCCTGGGACCGAGTCAAAGTTGGAAGCATTGTGATAGCTTGGGGCTGTCACAGTATCATAGCCACTACTCAGAGCACATGGCAACCTCTCAAAAGCCACAAGGCGCCCACGACAGCCAGCCCACGCACCTTGAGAAAAGAGCGGCGGCGGTTGCGGCGGAAGGTACCAGCGCTGGGTGCGTGCCCAGAGGTCCGAGTTGAACCCCGCCACTGCTGCCTAGCACGAGCGCATCCGCCACCCTGCCCGCCGCCAGACACCTCTCCACTGCCGCCTCATAGTTCCCCACCACCAGCGCCCTCTGCACCTCGCCCTCCACTCCCCGCCTCCCTCCTCCCCCTCTTCCTCGTCATCTTCCTCCTCCTCCTCCGCCTCCCCCTCCCATGCTGCTTCCCTGGTGATCTCGCCGTTCTCTCCCGGAGCTTCCCCTGCTGTGGCTGCAGCAGCAGCAGCAGCAGCAGCAGCGTTGGGAGTGGTTGCTGCCAGCGAGATCGTCAAAGAAGTCAACGTCGCCCGTGGCGGACGGAATTCCCATCCAGCCCTGTTCCCGTCCCCGCCACAACCCCCCCTCCTTCCCCACCAGCACCGTCAAGAGACAGAACTCCCACTCCTGCTGCCGCCGCCTCTGCTCCCGCCTCTCCCGCCGCGGCCTCTGCTGCTGCTGCTTCGGCTTCAGCAGCAGCGGCGGCAGCGGCAGCAGGGTCTTCGGCGGGGGGCAGGGTGGGGTTGGGATGTGGATGGGCGGGAAGTCGAGATGTGCCAGCAGCTTGCGCAGGGCACGTCTTCAAAGAGCACTGTGAGGAAGTCCCACGTCTCCCTGTCCTCTGGGGCACTGGGGAGGGCGAGAAAGAGTGGTGGGAAAGAGAGTGGTGGGAGAGAGGAGTAGGAGAAGAGTGTCACCACACGGACCCAAAATCGGTTAACTCACAAACAAACGCGCTCCGCCATGCAAGAGAGTATAGTGTCCATTCCGCCCCTCCCACCCCCTTCCCCCCTTGCCACCACCATCACCATCATAATGAACCCATCACCATCACCACCCCCAGCGCACGCCAGCGCCACTCACGTGGCGAGCTTGCGCCTTGTGTTGGCAGAAGGCTTTGAGATTCTCCTGTCGCCGCCCGCCACGGCAGCCTCAAACTCGTCAGCGCGGGCCACCACGCCCTCCTCCGTCACCACACTGTGCACCGCCACCTGCGCCCCATGCCCTGCTTGCCCCACCTTGCTTCCAAAGCACAGCAGCCGCCCGCCAAAGCCAAAGGTTGCTCCGCACGGCCGCTTCAACCACTTGGGCGCGCGGGATGTTGCTGGAGGGGAGGGGGGGGGGGGGAGGAAGGAGGGGAGGGCGGGAAGAGCAGGAAGTGATAGAGGGGTTTCCTCAGCAGTAAAAGAGGGCAGACAGTGGCTGCATGGCACGGCACATCACAATCATCGCAGGTAGAGATTTGTCAATGTGGCACATGACAGCGGCATGGATGACGTGGCATGGCATGGCACAGTCAGAACGAGGTACGTACCCATGGGCGTTCTGTTGGCGAGCGACGCGCCAAAGTCTGACTCCTTGCTGCTAGCCGACTGCTTGGGAAAGGCGGGAGCAGAACGCAAAGGAGGGAGCAAGGAAAAAAAAAAAAAAGGGAGATGTGGGTGGGGCATGGGGGGAATAGGGAAAGGGAGGGGGAAGGGCGGACACAAGAACATCTGGTATAGTCTATAGACGAAGGGCAACATCTGGTATAGTCTATAGAAGAAGGGCAAAATCTGGTATAGTCTACAGAAGAAGGGCAACATCTGGTATAGTCTATAGAAGAAGGGCAATATCTGGTATAGTCTATAGAAGAAGGGCAACATCTGGCGGACAAGAAGGTTGCCAGTGGCGTATGGGCAGGGAAGGGCGATTGGGAGAACGATTGAGACACCGTCACAAAAAGGGTAGAGAAACGCGGAAGAAGCATGACACACCTCGATGTTGTACAGGGAGACGTGGGCGTCGAAGCAGGATGCGGAGAGCAGGCCTGGCACCCGTGGCGACCAAATAAGCTCACGCATGAATGCTGCGAAGCAACTTACCTTGATGTTGTAGAGCGAGAGACGCACCTCGATGTTGTAGAGCGAGACGTGGCCGTCGAAGCAGGAGGCGGAGAGCAGCCCTGGCACCCGTGGCGACCACTGCAGGTCGAAGTTCCAGTTGGTGCCCGCCGGTAGCTCGCACAACACCTGAAGGGGTGGGGGTGGGTGGGGAGGAGAAAGGGGGTTTGAGTCAACTCAAACACATTCTGGGTTGACCCAAAGCACCCGTGGCGACCACTGCAGGTCGAAGTTCCAGTTGGTGCCCGCCGGTAGCTCGCAAACACCTGGTGGAGAGGGGGGAGGTAAGGGAGGGTGGAAGGGGGTAGAGGGAGGGGGGGTGGGGGAAAGGGAGAAGAAGGAACACTGCAGGTCGATGTTCCAGGTAGTGCCCACCGGTAGCTCGCACAGCGACTGGAAGTGGGGGGACGAGAGGAGGGGAGTGGAGTTAGGCAAGAGATGTGGAGGAAACAAGGAGAAGAGGAGGAAAGGATTCGGAACTTTGAAAAGAGAGTATGGCCGTCATTGGCGCATGGAAGCAGCAAAGCAGAGTCGACACATAGTCGATCTACATGCCATCATTGAGGTGTGTTTTGAGGCGCCTCAAAACACATCTCAATGCACGCGGAGTCGCTACATAGTCGGTTACATGCCATCTTCAAGCACATTAGACAGCATGCCATCTTCAAGCACATTAGACACGCATGCCATCTTCAAGCACATTAGACACGCATGCCATCTTCAAGCACATTAGACACGCATGCCATCTTCAAGCACATTAG